ATGTCATGGAGTGAAATGACCAGAGAATACTTTGGAGAACACTATTCTGGAAATGGAATCCCACACTTGTTCTTCAGAGTTTCTGTGCTCAGGAAAGTTGCTTGGGTTGGCATCATTTGCTTATTTGCCTACTTTATGGCAACACAAAGCATGAGCATGTTGAATGCATACTATGGATATCCAAAAACTGTACAGATAACTGTAAGTCTTTACATCAACAAAAGTATATAACATACTCAGGTTCAACCATATTTTCCAGATTATTGAAGAGAAGAAGGCAGTTTTTCCAGCTGTTACTGTCTGCAATGTGAATGTTCTTAGTGCCAACAAGATAAAGTATGTCTCTGATCCTGTGCTGGACAAACTGCTGAAAGTTGAAGAGAAGTATGGAGCTGCCATTCGAAAGAAGAATGACTGTAAGACTATAAAACAATTTAATTATATAGAAGACTGAGGAGATTTATTTCAAATATAATTTGCAGCCTTCACAGGTCAATTGGTTGATGACTACTCAGCACTGTGTGAAGATGGTTACAAGAGATTCAAATCTCCTGCTGCAGCCACAGCTATTGATTACTGGTCCCCTGAGGCTGTGGAAAAGTTCTGGGATCCCTTCTTGAATGGTTCTGCCAAAGATTACCCAACAAAAAAGAAGACATTCCATTCATACAATCCATGTGATGAAATTGGTGAGGCACTTTTGTCATCACCTGGCAGCAGTCAGGGAATTGATCATTCCAAGCCCTAAAATCTATATGCAATCAAAAATGTATATGACTATATGCACATGCTGCTCTAAACCAAGAAAACCTGATAATGGCTTGAAGGAATTACTTTTTATAAATGTTGGTATGTAAACTGCCAAGAAATTCCATGGAAAAGACATCTTTCCTTGCAAGTTAAGCTAAATGGATTCTTCATCAGTTTGCCAATAAAATACATTTTCTGTGTCATACACATTTTGAGACACATGAGTTTTCTGGATCAATGCAAAAAAAGAAGATTTGAAGAATAGCGTAATTTGCTTGAGATTATCTGTACAGTATATATCAAACCTGACTTTTATCCCTATTCTTGTATACAGCAGTTGGCAACATCACACATTGAACTATATCATCATTAACATTGGATGCAAACTTGTGGATTTGAACATGGTTATCAAATATTAATATTTTTATAAAGCATTTCATGTTACCATTAAATGATTATATACAGTCAACCCCCACACAATGGACTTAATTTGTGCAGAAGATTACTCTGTTGTTTGAAAAGTCTCATATATGCACATTTAATTGCAAAACTGTATTTAAAATTTAAATGTTTACTTTTTACCACACATTTTGAACCAACAGAAGTCTGTTATGCAGTTTTACTCCATATTGCATTGAAGGGAAAACTGCCCCCAGCAGAGGTGGTCTGTTNATTTGCTGACAGAGACATAATCAATGCTACAGTCAAAGAGCTTGATGATGAAGCTCTTGTCATGGAAGCTGAAGCTGACATACTTGCCCTTGCTTTGATAAAAGCTGCTGTAGAATGTGCAAATGATGAAAAATTTGTCCAGGTATGTGTGTTAATTGAATCTCCCAAATAAGCTGAAAATGTGTATTTTATACTGTATATATGCAATCCAAAATACTCTTGGTAGAAAATGGAAAACAATGGTGCTGGTGGATTTTTGCTGAGAGACAAAAGAGGATGTGAGTGTTCTATCTTTGCTGCTATAAGCATGCTAACCAATTGAATCATTTTTCAGTTTGATTTATAATGTGGGCTCATCTTGGTTCTTCCAATGAAATAGATTGCAGGAAAGTGTATCTCACACATGCCACTTATTTTGAATTTGAATCATACTAGTCCATAAACTTATAAATAAATACTCACGACCAAGTAGAGAGGTAGTCATAAACTTGGGAACCAATTGGAACCTCCTGGATATTGTTGACACGAGTGTCTGTGGTAGTTCGTTTAGTGTGCACCATTGAAAGGTAAAGTCTTTTCAAATATGTGCAACAATAAATGAAAAACTTCAACGGTATCAAATCTGCTGAAATTGCAGATGCGTTGTCAAATCTGCCTCTGGTTGGCAACCCAGCAGTAATTGTGAATACAGCTTTGGGCAGTCTTGGGGATGTTCTGGGCCAGGTGCCATTGCTTGGAGGACTTCTGGAAGGTTCAACAGATGTGGAACGACCTAGTCAGTTACTACAGAAACTACGACAACCACGACCACTAGGTCAACTACGGGACGACGTTAATAACCCCCGACTAAGGTGATAACCTTTTAATCAGTTTGGGTAGTATCTTTTCGAGAAAGATATCCTGAAAACTATTTTTGACAGAATCAGGCTCATTCTAAGGGAAATTGCGCAGAGAATGGCAATGATGAAGTATATCCCCAACACTAGGGCTTTGGATATTCTGGGATGCCAAGATGGTAACCTGGATATCAATTATGAAAAGCTCTTTGGTAATTGGATTTAAATAGTCTTTCATTCCAGTATAGTCTCCAACAGATGAAAGGACTGATCCCTCACCAACAAATCACAGTTTAAAACTTATGTATAATTGGAATAGTAGGGATACTTCAAACTTCTGTAAAATGGTACATACCGTATATTCGGTAAATGAACATTATAGCCATTAAAAAACACATCAAGATTAAAATGATATCTATCAATAAATTATAAATTACTGCTGGAGGATTCACTCACAGTGTGATGAATGATCACAAAATAAATAAATAAAAATCCAGGCAATCAGCCTTTTGATGCCTAGAACACATATTCACAGTATCACATTGAATACCGTATATGTTTCTAGTTTTTCAATAATTTTTATGGAATGTTTTCAGCAGAGTTGAATAAATGCAAGAATTCAAATGAACAAACACAATCAATTCCCCCAAACAGATTCAAATCACAAGATCAGATCATATAAATAAAAATCACAAATTTTTGCACAAGTCAGGAAAAGGGAAGATTGTACTTTAAGAGTTCAGGACAGACTGCTTGAAAATTAAAAATTACAAGAGTTTTTATTAATTTCTTGGCATTTTCTGGTCAGGTGATCTGACCATACAATTCCAATAAATTAAAATTCCAGAAAATTCTTGGATATTCCCTGGCCTCTAATAAAAATTGATGAAATCATCATGAGCATATTGTCAGGTGATGTGGGAAGAAACCTTCATTGGTTTCCTCTCTCATTTTCTTCACAATGCACACAGCATGTATGCCAGCTCAGATTGCTCAGTTTGATCAATCAGTTTGATTTTGATCAAATATAAATAAAGACATTTTTCATCCTACTTTTTTTAGATTTTTAAAAAATGCTGTACTGTATATTCAATCTTTGTGAGCGTTCATTGAGTTTTTCTGTTTTGTAATTTTATTTTCTGTCTTTATCAACCAGGTATTTGTCCTGATAGAGACTCAGTGCCATGCATCCGCAGCTTGTTGAACACCAGCAACATCAATCCAAACTGTGTTGAAGTGACCAAATTGTGTGATGGTGTCCCTGATTGTGGAGATGCATCTGATGAAGCTCTGCTTTGTGAAAATACTCAGAAAAGTATGATTTTGGTCTTCTACAGTTTTTTTAATACACAGACAGAAAGAGGTGACAGTTACACCCTGCATAATGACTGCAAAAAGCATTTTGTTACATGTAGTATTTTTCAAAAACATTTCTTCAGAAAAACTGAATCAAGATTTTATGAATATTTATATATCTAAGATGGGTGTCAATATGTTATTAGTCTCAAGAATGGGAAATTTTGGAGAGAAAAAGAGTCCAAAATTGTAATCCCAATACAATTTCTGATCTAACATTCTCATCCTGGAACATAATCCCATGTCTTTATTGTTCACATGTGCAATGCTTAGATGGACAAATTAATTTCAAGTACCATACATGAGTACACAATATGAGATCATTATAGGAAATGATGGCAGTTCACTTCACCCACCTTTTTAAGAAGTACATTTTCATTATGTTACCTGCAGTCTGTGAAATGGCAGATTCCAGTTATTTCCGTTGCAATATTGGCTCTTGTATTGTCAAACAATGGGAATGTGATGGATTCCTGGACTGCAATGATGGATCTGATGAAGATGACTGTGAACCTGGTGAGAGATTCTGTAGAATAAATTCTGATACCTCTTTTTTTCATCAAGAAATTCCATTTACAGGTCTTCAAGGAAGTGAAAAAGGCAGCTCAAGTGAGATCTTATAATTTTTGACATGCAGATTTTTCTTATTTTGAATGAATGAGATAAATCCTCCTCAGGGTTTTATGGGATTGATCCATTTGATGTGGAATCAATCATCAAGAGGTCAAAAACTGGTGACCTGAGTGACATCAGCAATGTTTTAACACCTACAGTGGCTCAAATAGAAAAGTATGGAAAAATCAGTTTCAGCAGAATGCGGAAAAATAAAATTCAGTTTCTGGTAGGTTGTTGTGATTATGAACTTGTCCTGTAGATTTGTCTGGATGGTAGTGTGGTCTAGGATTGAGGTACTGAGATAACAGGAAAGTACCGAATTTTGCTGTAATCTTGTTCTGATATTTAGGTATTGAAGTTTCAGGAGATGGGAAATTCCTGGCATGAAGAAGAAAAATTAGCCACTATGGGCATATGGGGAATATTTACTTTTTGCACTGAGGGAGAAATCATAAATATCTTTTGTCAGTAAAAAAATTTTTAGAATTGTGGAGATAGAATCTCACAAATGTATAGAAATGTACTGTATAATGCCAAGTTGAATTTTGTTGAACATTAACATCATCCTGGATTCCTGGCCAATCTTTGTAACATACTGGAACAACTTCACAGGAATATATATGTATATGTGTGAATCCTCTCTGTATTTTCAATTTTTTTGAAAACAAAATTCGTACCGGAGTCTGAATGAAACTTGTATCTTGGTCTTTTGATGAACAGGTCACATTGAGGTCTTTAACCTCGTTCTCAGAGACAAGTAGGTTCCATACTCTAAGGAAAAGGTCTTGACAAGGGATTCAGTGTGTCCCCTGGACTTGCCACTTCTATTGGTGTGAAAACTGTAAGTGTGTCCCACAAACTTTCATTTTATTTGTAGAATGTTGAAAAATTATATTCTTTTGCTGCAGAAAGAAGTGCAAAGAGTGGGTGCTCCTTGGGGTCAGTGTACTGAATCTGAGTGGAAACATTTTGGCAACTATTCCCAAGTGGTTGGTGATATTTTCCTACATATTGTGCATGAAATGATTTTGTTATTTTTTTTTGTTAAATTGGAATTGAAAATCTTTGAAGGCTTGCTTGAAGTTTTGCTTGGAAGAAGTTGTAAGGGAAGAGTGCAGATGTGCCTCCATGCTGCAGCCTTTGTATGTTGGACCTGGTTCAAGGTTGCCAAGGTGTACTGTGACTGACAGAAACCATGGTATGATATTTTCATACCTTTGATACTTATTTTCTTGTGGTACTTTTATCCATAAATATTTGGACAAAATGACATCACAATAATACTGTAATGCATTTGAAATGTTGCTAAGCCCAGCATGTGAGGCTTCACATGTGAAGCCGTACACTCCACTACATTTGGTCACAAGGGTTGGGTACCAGGTGTCTGACCGTTACCGGACGTCTTAAATAAACGGTCAGGTGTTACTTTCAAAAACCTCGTATTATGTAAATAATTTTCATCGTTAAAAGTTGGTTATTTTTTTTTCTGGAATTTTGGGAAGACTATGTGTCAGTTGCAATTATCTGATGAAAAATATAAATTGGCTTTTTTCAGAATAATAACACTTCAGACAAATTTTCACCCACTGTAATAAAATTTTTTTAATATCTTTCACTCTGAGACACTTTTCTTCAAGTCAACCTTTCTAATTTTTTTGAAAAAATTTCACTATACCAGCTTTGCATAGGTCCATAATTTTAAAGAAACATGGAATTTTTAAATGCCTGCCATTAAGTTTTTCAAGCAAAACCTTTTTTGAGTCTGAAACAATTTTATGAAACTTTGCCAGTCACTCTCAGAATTTTTTTTTTAATTTGCTTGTCTGCAAAATAATTTTTGCAAATTCACTGATCTGTGGGCCCAAAAAGGTTACAGAATACTGAAATAAACCATATGTGAAATATGCAATCAGAACAACATTTTAAGCAGGTATTTGCCATCATATTTCTGCTGAGCATAATTTTCAAGCAGATACATGTGAGGTGATGTAAACCAGTGTTCCCAACCCATGGTCCACAGACTGGCAATGGCCTGCAGAATTTATTTGCCAGTCCACAATGAAAGTTTTTGGAGCATAATACATTTATTAAAAGTAGCAATTGAGTTGGTTATTTTTATCTGAAATTTTGGAAAGACTATGTGTCAGTTGCAATTATCTGATGAAAAATAGAAATTGGCTTTTCTCAGAATAATAACACTTCAGACAAATTTTCACCCACTGTAATAAAATTGTTTTAATATTTTTCACTCTCAGAAACTGTTCTTCAAGTCAACCTTTCTAATTTTTTGAAAAAATTTCACTATACCAGCTTTGTATAGGTCCATCATTTTGAAGAAACATGGAATTTTCAAATGCCTGCCATAAAGTTTTTCAAGCAAAACCTTTTTTGAGTCTGAAACAATTTTATGAAACTTTGCCAGTCACTCTCAGAATTTTTTTTTTATGTGTTTGTCTGCAAAATAATTTTTGCAAATTTTGACTAGACACCCGGGTTTTTCCAATGTCTTATGACTTTATTTGGTATACACTTTATACGTTAGTCTTGTTGTAAAATTCGTCCATAAACGGTAGTATAAAGACGACTCGTATTAAAAGTTCGTCTATTTATTTAGCCACCTTTTAAAATGTTAAATCAATGGGTTTTTGATGCCAAAATTATGCCCTCTCAAAATTTAAATTCGCCTTTCAAGCTAGAGTAAACTCTTCAGAAATTCAAAAACCTTTTCCAGTGTACAGTGTCAAAGATTTTAATAACTGCCGAAAATCACAGCAGAAAAAAAAAACAATTCATCCACAATAAATACAGAGAGGACATTTTGTATAATTTTCTGAAGCAGTTGTGAATTTTGTTGACTGCAGTTTAATATTGGTTCCATATGAGACATTTATCTACTGGATTTTTCTGTTATTCTTGACAAAAAATCCATGTTATTATTTACAATAATTGAAGCTCATGATTTTTTTTAAAGACACCTGCTATCAAAAAATCCTTGCGGAATTCGCCTCAGGAAACCGGACTTGCGGATGTGATCCCGCTTGCGTGTAAGTAAAAAACAAATTTAATTTCTTGGAAACCGAAATAATGAAGAAATGCAATCGGTCATCACCTTATTTATATATAAATAAATACAGAGACCTTACTTACACCACGACATCATCACGGAGTTTGCAAAACAAGAGGTTCTCTTACATCCTGGCGATGCTGAAACGAGTGTTTGTCAGCGACGATTTCTGCAACAAGTGAGTGATGATGATGATGATGATGATCGAAAAGCGATGATTTAATGCTAAAATTCACATTAATTTGCGCAAAAATAAAGCGCCCATTTATTGATATTTCTCACCAAGTAATGGTCGAAAAACGAATGCGAGAATTCCCGAAAATTTACGCAGAAATTAAACGCCCATTTATATTTTATTTTGAAATTTGTCGAATATGTACTGTAACGAATTTTCAGGTTTACAATTTTTTTTTCTCTTTATAAAAATCAGCGATGTGACGTTATCGGAAGGCAGTGTGGTACAAATCCACGTTTACTTGGAAACTTTGTCAAAACAAGTGGTGATTGAACAGCCTACTTATTCGGCAAGTATATATATATATATATTAAATCCGCAGATTTAGATTGCAAAAAAATGTGTAATGAATAATTTATTGATTTTTCTTTTCTAATATATACACTGTCCCTATTTTAGTACGAAACCTTGGTGGCGAATATTGGCGGAACGTTGGACCTTTTCGCGGGAATTTCGATTTTCGCTTTCGTCGAAGTCCTGGAATTCATTGCAAATACGTTCCTTTGGATGCTCTATCGCAAAGATGCGCAGAAACAATTCAATTCGGTCGGGAAACGATGAGATGCAAGAAGTTTTGGCATGTTTACTGTATATATATCAAAGAAATAATGATAGATTTGCAATATTTAGTTGAGGATGGTTCACTTTTCGCCAAATACAGTATAGGAGTCACTGGAGTTCAAAAAGATTGCACATCATATGGTGGAAATGAAGGAATAGAATATGTTGGCACTGCTTTTGTTGTGAAATATTAAATAAAAATGTCAGATCATCTGGGAAAAGCCTCAGAAATGTTTTTCCAATTATTTTCAGCTTATGCTTATTTCAACTACAGTATGTGATATACTGTATTTACTGTGTTACTAAAAGCAAGGTGTAGTACATATATAAACTCTGATGCAAATTGTTCCCCAATAGCCATTGATGATGGATAACCTGATATGAACAAAACTTTTATTAAGAGCAATAATTCATAAATTCATTGCACCAAAGTTCAATTGAGATTGAGGTTACTTACTGTTTGTTTTAACACAATATCTTGTAACAAACTTACTTTCAAGAAGATTTTTTTTGCACAATTTATTGATGTGAGAAGATGTAGTTTGAGCAAGATTTCTTGCAAGAAGCCAGATTGAGGTTACTTACTGTTTGTTTTAACACAATATCTTGTAACAAACTTACTTTCAAGAAGATTTTTTTTGCACAATTTATTGATGTGAGAAGATGTAGTTTGAGCAAGATTTCTTGCAAGAAGCCCAATTGCAAGAAGATATACATTTATTGTGACTCTTTGTGTTGTAGAAATAATTACACTTTTGGTAAGATTTGTTGTTACATCAATATACTTGTTTTAGAGGTAACAGTATAATCAAAAATTGTTGTAAAAAATAGTTTTTCTGGAAATACAGTCCTGTAAAATGCATACATTACTTGTATAAGAATCAGCAGAGATTTTTTTTTCAATGCTGTATCTATTTTTCAGCATAGGGCTCTAAATACTGAACAGAATATATATATATATGAGGCAAATCTTATTCTTTCACATGCATGTGTGGTTCAGCTGGTTGCAGACATATGCTGGTGTTTGATCTGATTATCAGTGAAAGCCTGGCAAAAACTTCAATGCATTTTGTGGCCTGTGATAACGCAATATGCTATCGGATGTTGCTCAATCCTGGAATACAACAGCAGGAAAGCATTTATTCATTGTTTCTGAAATTCACTGGCATTGAGCAGACATGCTTCAATACAACGCAAAATAACTGCAGGGTGTTTCTCCATTAGCATTTTTTGAAATTATTTTTGCATGGTAATAAGCTCATAAACAATTGAGGGACTATAGCAACAGATAAAGGAATTTTCACCTGGAATTGTAAAACTTTTCTAGTAAAGTTAAAAATGCGCAGGCTAAATTTTTGGATTTTAAATTAGGGAATAATTTTAGCATTCAGTCTAAATAAACTCTTGATCTCATACCATGGCTTATTTGATGAAAAATACAGTACAAGAACAATTAAAACAATAAATAATGTGTGTAGCGTTTGTTAAAATATTATTATATTTGTGATAATTTTAATTTGCGTAAAAATGTTGAAAAAAGTGAAACTCGTGGTATATTTACACTGTACACAGTGAAAGTCGTTTTCTAATATTGTAAAGATTATTTACAGTATTAGTTCTTTATAGGCAGTGTACAACGTTTTGTTTACACCATACAGACAGTACTTTGACAATCATCTCAGCAATTCAGATAGTGTTAAAGAGAAAATCTAAAATTCTCCGGGACCCTAAAATCTAATCGGAATTATAAAGATTATTTTAATTTTTATTATTAAGAACACTGAGTTGCTGTATATACAGTAGTTAGAATGGTTTTCTGAACAAAGATAGTGCAGGCAGTCATATATACTCCGTGGGTACATTAGTACGGCTGTACGGTAGAGGGTCGGTAAGAAAGGCGTTGCCGTTGTGTTGTCAGATGAAATTCAGGTCGCGACCGTGGAAGTCGTGATGGAATGTGTGCGAGTTTTTTGGGTCTGTTTCGGAAGTTCTACGAAATTTTTGAGAAATTGAGTCTAAATAACGCCCTGTAATGATTCTCGTGTTTCGGCTGACTGGAGGAAGTTACATTGCACGTGATCGTTGCCTACATTTTTTTATTATCTTAGGTGCGGAGATTATGAATGTTATGGCGTAATCGCCGGAAGATAGTGTGAGAACATGTTATCCATAGTTTCGTAACTAAATTTTATGTTGAGTTACAAGTGCGGTGTGCATACGAGTCTTGTGGTATTTTTGCATGTATGGTAATTATTCTACGACCCTGGTCATGCTCGTAACGTTTCCTGTGCAGATCGTGTAGTGTGTATCTTTACCATACATTATTCTCTCAAGATTTTGATCCTGGAACAGTGGTAGCATTCCCGAAAATTGCGCCCTCCGATATTGTTCGCTTGAACTTATTAAAACGGCGAGGCAGGGCAAAATTATTTTTCCTAGTTCGTCTTCCGTAACTCTCTTGGGCTTCAATCGCGCGCATCTGATTCGGAATCCTCAGAACCAATGCTCAAGATGCCACTGTTCGGCAAGTCACCGAAAAGTCCGTCTGAAGTCGTCAAGGCTCTCAAAGAGGCATTGCACACTCTGGAGAAAGGCGACAAGAAAGTCGAGAAGGTAAACAGTTTCGCTTGCTTTTTCGTGTTCTGCTCCGCTAACCTATCTTCATTGCTTAGGCCCAAGAGGACATATCGAAAAATCTAGCATTGCACACTCTGGAGAAAGGCGACAAGAAAGTCGAGAAGGTAAACAGTTTCGCTTGCTTTTTCGTGTTCTGCTCCGCTAACCTATCTTCATTGCTTAGGCCCAAGAGGACATATCGAAAAATCTAACCCTGATGAAGAACATGCTGTACGGCACTGGAGAGGCTGAGCCGCAGAATGAAATCGTTGTAGCGCAGCTAGCGCAGGAATTATATAATTCTAATTTGCTTCTCCTGCTGATACAGAATTTGAACAAGATTGAGTTCGAGGTTAGCTGGGATTTCGTGGTGTAACCTGAATGGATTTTTAATGCCCAAAAATGTTCGCTCAATTGCAGAGCAAGAAAGACGTAGCCCAAATTTTCAACAACGTTCTGAGGCGACAAATCGGCACCAGAACTCCCACTGTTGAGTATATAATGGCGCATCCCGATATACTCTTCACGTTGATGAGAGGCTACGAGCATCAAGAAATTGCTCTGAATTGTGGCACCATGTTGAGAGAATGCTGCCGGTATGAAACCCTTGCCAAGATAATGCTTTACTCCGAAAACTTCTACAACTTTTTCAAATATGTGGAAGTTTCCACGTTCGATATTGCGTCCGATGCCTTCTCAACGTTTAAGGTTTGTACTAAGATCTTGTTTCATCCGCGATGAGCTCTATTCAAATTGGTTTTGAAATTACTTTGTAGGAGTTACTAACAAGGCACAAGTTGCTCTGTGCAGACTTCCTGGAGCAGAACTACGATCGCGTTTTCGCGGAGTATCAAGGGTTGTTGAATTCAGAGAATTACGTCACACGCCGCCAAAGCCTTAAGCTCCTGGGAGAGCTTCTCCTCGACCGTCACAACTTTTCAGTTATGACTCGGTACATCTCCAGCCCGGACAATCTGAAGCTCATGATGAACATGCTGAAAGAGAAGAGTCGGAATATACAATTCGAGGCCTTCCATGTTTTCAAGGTTTGCTTTAAGCGTTTTATGGTTTTTCTCAGGATCCTATAGAAGCAAATATTTACACGCCTGTGTGCGCATCTTCGAAGTAGCCCCTGAGTTTATGCATAGAATATGACGGTTGATACGAAAGTTTTGCCGATACTTCGTCTTGAATTAATTTCAAGGGATCGCCTGAGATTTTTGGGGGAGGTAGGGTAATCTTTTGCTCTCTTCATCTCGAAGGTCTATTTCTGTGTTACTCAAATTACTCTTCACAGATCTCAATTACATTTTTGAACTTCTATGAATTCATGAGTTTTCGTTCAGTATCCGATCTGAGTGAAAATCCATCTAACGTGGGTCAATACAAAGGCGTAGAGCAAATTTTTTTTTTTGTTGCGAACAATTATCTTTAATGATCACCCTTACTTGGGGAACGTCTTGCGTAACGATTGACACTTCATATTCGGATTAATTAGGGCAGAAAACGTCAAGATCAGGAGATTTTTTTCTATTGGAGTACTGTCGTTAACTCTTGAACATCTTCTTCGAAGAACCGAAAATTCGATATGAAACGTTCTTTTGTAGCAATACGGAGATCGAATGAATTTTAATTTTTCGTCCGTATCATGTTGAATTTGATGAGCAAAATTGAAAAATGGTTGAGAGAATATCAGAAATTGTGTCTTATTACTCCGTAAAAAAATATCCATTAATGAACGGGACTTCGTGAAGAGGAATATTTCACCATTTTGTATGACTTATGCAATTCGCTTTTTTGTGTGCATGAATGTTCTACGATTTGAACGTGTTCGAGGAGCGTTGAAATACTGTATAAGTTTATTGAAATGTTTTGAAAGTATTCCATCCATTTTCAGTTGAAACCATGGGATTGAATTCATGTAGCATCGGTGTTGTGACGATGTTAGTGTAAGATTTCTGAATTGACCTTTATGCATTTTTTTTCGTTTCAGGTATTCGTGGCAAATCCGAACAAACCAAAGCCGATCCTGGACATCCTCCTTCGGAACCAAGATAAGCTCGTAGACTTCCTCACCAAGTTCCACACCGACCGAAGTGAGGACGAACAGTTCAACGACGAGAAGGCTTATTTGATCAAGCAAATCAAGGAGCTCAAGCTGGCGCCTACCGATTCATCACCTCAACACCCTGGTTCATCTCCCGCTGTTGCCCACTAAAATTCCGTCTTTTTTTTTTTTTTGAGTGCGTAGAAATGTTCCCCTAGAATTATTTCGGGCGTGAAGATCGAGTGAGATTGTGATACTAAATGCCGCTGGGCTTAGTGTGGGTCGGTTCCAGTATCGAGGGTTCCTTTTTATCCATTCTCTCAGGTTTCGCTGCACGCTTGCGTTCCTGTGTTTTAGTTCCCACTGGTTAAATGTCCCCACGCGTAGAAGCGTTGGGTGAGGTCAGTGCCTCAAAGGGGTGAGAAGATTTTTTTTTGTGCTTATTCCAAACAGATTGTGAAGGGATACAACGCGTGGGAGAGAAACCTTTATGCGACACTTTGGATATATAAAAAAAAATGAAATGATGGACGCTCGGTTTGCTTTTTAACCTCATCTGTGTTATTTCATTCCTTGTCCCATTCTCATTTTATTCTCTGTGAATGTGTCCCTTTTGAAAAAAACGTAATGGACTCCTCTTCAGGGCATTTCGTGCGTGTTCAAGTTCATATCGGTTTTACCACGATGGTTCGGAAAAGGCAATCCGTTGTCAATAATACTGACGAGGTAAGTCACACTCATCAAAATCCAGAGTTCGTGATTAACAATTTTGAATTTATTGTTGAATTTCAGCCCACGAAGTCTGTTGCAGTCTCCAAGAAAACTTCAAATGCGAAGAATAAGGTATGAATTGGTTGGCCTTACAATACTTATACGCTAGCTGATGAGTTTTTGACGATTTTTTCAGGCGCCTGTTGTCAAAGCTAAAGAAGACAAAGTCAAGTTGACTGCAGCATCGGCAGAAGTAAGCAGGAAATAATTACTTAATGGTTGATCATTATTTAATGAAGACTGACCCGATTTGTTTTTTTTTTTTCGCAGGAGAAAGTGTTGAAGGTTGTGAATGGCAAGGCTTCAGTGAAGGTACGGTTTTTTCAATGAGTTATTGGTCCTTGATTAAAGAGCTAGGTTTGTTGAACGCGATCTTATTTCGCAGAGAAAAGCGCCTCAAGACGTATCGAAGGATGTCAAAAAGGCCAAGCACGTGGGGTTGGCTCCTGTCGAGAGTTCAGGAGTAGACGAAGGCGCCACATTGATCACTTGGGGCACCGGTGAGATGGGCCAGCTGGGCCTGGGTCCAGACGTTCTGGAGAAGAAGCGCCCGGCGCGGGTTACAGCGGGCACCAAGTACACGCACGTGGCATTGGGCGGCTTGCACACCGTGGCTGTGAATTTGCAAGGGAAGCTCGTGTCCATGGGCTGCAACGATGAAGGCGTCCTTGGGAGACACACCGAAGAAGAGGAGGAGGCCTTCCTGCCGCAGCCGATTGTTGCTTCATCTTTACCCGCCGGGATGAAGGTGGCGTCTGTGGCTTGCGGTGATTCGCATTCAGCCGTCCTGACGACTCAGGGGAAAATTTTTTACTGGGGGAATTTTAGAGTGAGTGTATTTTGTCGGTGTTCGACACTGACTTCACGGGAAAAGGGTTTTCTTCTGTATTCTTTACAGTCTGACCTCTCCAAGTCGAATTTGAAGGAACCAACGAGAGAAAATTTGAACTGAAGAGGTTTTGAGTTGATAATGCTTGGGATAAGAAAAAAAAATGGTTTGAGAGGTTTTTGTCTCAAAGGGGCTCAATTGTACTGTACTAGAATTATCATGTAACTTTTCATGTATTGTACTCCCCTCAAGTACCACACACGCACCCACCATTTCTCAAAATTGAGCAGAAAAAGGGGGAGGTGTGGATTGTGGGCAGGTGTGAAATTTTCACAATTATTCGGAAATTTTAGGTGCATGTCATACTATATTTTATTATATAACGAGGAATTTTGAGCCAACTTTGACAAAAGATATTACCCAACGATTGAAAATTAATCAAATTCAGTTTCAATTCATGTCCAGATTTAAATTCTGGTGTGTCTTTTTTTTTAACTACTGTATTTTCTTCTGTACCATGTGCGCCTTTTTTTTCTCAAAATGGAGAGGATCAAAAAGGTGTGCGTCAGAGGCATGTACAAATTTTTCAAGAAGCTTAAGCAATTGAGGTGTGCGTTAAACTTGATTCTAATGGAACATTTTGGAAGTCAGCAGAAACAAGTTTGTATGCAAAAAATTCAAAATCGGTTGAGTTCAAATTCAATTACATCTGAATTTGAATCGGGATGTTCTTACTTTTTAAATGTTGCAGTTTGAGAGTCTTTATAACTGGGGTATACGTCTTCCTTGGGGATACGATTTAGTGAAAATTTCCAACTGAAAAACCTGGGTGCATGTGTTACTGTACTTGATTAAGTACAGTACAGTAATGCGGAATTTCTGTCACGAAATATCGGGTGCATGTCTAACTTGGGGATTGAATTTCATCTGAGTTTTTGCCTGAAAAAATCAGGGTGCATTTACGGAACCGATTTAAAAATGGCGGGTCAGGTACTGAACTGTATATTAATCATACCTTCTTGGATATGATACAACTCATGCAGTGTAGTCTAGGAATTCTTCAAGTTTTGATTTTTTTTTCGAAACTTCGTGTGAAGCTTGAAGTTTTCATTTTTCCAGTGCATATTTTTTCAATATTTTCTTTCGTGCTTGTTGCAGGGTATAGATGGAGCTATGGGTCTCAAGAAAGTGGGAGTGACGGAATCCGTGCCAACCGAGTTGCCATTGCCGAAGCTCAGTGGCGGCAGTTCAGAAGCTGATAGACATATCATTAGTATGGCGTGTGGAAACGCGCATGTAGCGTTTGTGACTGCTTCGGGAGTAGCCCTCACTGTAGGCGCCTACGACGGGGGTCAGTTGGGCAGAATCCCGGACAGACAATGCAGTGATCCTGGTCATCGAATCATTGGTGAGTTTCCCGAAAAAAGGGAAAAAAAAATTGTTGTGGCTTCGAAGCTTTTTTTTTTATATAGAGAGAAAGTTTTTAATGTGTGCATAAAAATTGCATGATACAGAGCCATGCGATTTTTACTGGGACTTGCAGCGTTTGTTGAGGATTTTCTTTAATTTACGTAGGATAAATTTTTGCTCGCCTTGGATATTTTTGGACAATCTTTACCCTTGAGTATGATTAGGTTGACGAAAACTTACCAAGATTAGGAGGATATTTTTTTCATTGGAAAGTGTTATAGTCGTTAGATTGGAGACATTCTCTATCAGGTCATTATTTATCCTGTATTATTGCACGATGTACATTAGTGGGTCCCCGCGAAACGAAACGTTTTCGACCGTGCTTGAGTTTTCGTTCGCAGAACTTACGTTATGTGGAACGCGTTTTCCGCTAAAATATTTATTTTATTTTTTTCGAACCCTCTCGAAAAAAACCACAATAAACCGTATAATGTGTGTCTTTTTCAGCTGAAGATTGACAACTCTTGCGCATAACCCTGGATTTCTCGAATTTTAAATGCAGGAAGCAAAACTGTACTCTACTCATCTTGTTTTTTTGTTTTTTTTTTAATTCTCTCGTCGACATTGAATATATTGAAATTCAATCAAATTTCAGCATTTTGGTCCACAAAAAAATGCTTTGAACAATTTTGTTCTCGTGAGTCACTTTTTCCCCCCTTAGAATTTTCATCTTGCGGATTTTTCGCCATGCGGGAACTCACTGTGTTCGGGTGCGTTTTTAAATGTATCGTGTGCACTTTCGAACGGGGTGAGAATAATTTTGAGCATGATCATCAAATGATCAAAGCAGTTTCTGTAGAAATTAAGAAATTACTTCAGTCCTCATCCATGCACCCGAAACTCAACACGGTCAACCGAAACTTTTCGGATCGTTCCTCAATTCTTGCTGAGAGATAAGAATTCATGTTGTGAGTTCATTTCATTTAAATTTTCTATTTTATTTATTTTTTTTGCAGAAAAAGCGTTGACGCCGCAAGAGGTGCGTTTTAGCAAGCGGAGACATTTTGACGCGTGTTTCGCGACTGCGTTCGGCACGTTTTTCCGGGAGAAGAATTCCGGGAAGTTGTTCGCGTGCGGAAACAACAAGGTCGGGCAACTGGGTCTGGCATTGGACAAAAGTACGTCGAGAGACAGCACGGGCTGGCGAATTCCGTTTGGAATGGAGTCCCCGAAGCTCAATCAACTGCTCAAGCCCGGACTGAGTTTCGAGAAAGTTGTCGGTGGACGGGATCACACGTTGTTATTGATTAGTGATGGTGAGTACGCTGTATGTATACTGTACTGCTTCCGGTATTATGGGGTGTTTTTGGAAATGGTGGTGCGACTTTGAATTTGTTTTCACATTGCAGCTTGTATGCTGTGTTAACCCCCAGATGTGGACGTACTTGTAAATGGTGCATCAAGAGTGTCCCTAAGTTGAGTCTTGTTTTCCCATAAACTTTACATCATATAATTTTTAATTGGTGTTTTATGGAAGAAATATTCTTCAGAATTCCATGAACAAAATTTTTTTTGCCACTTGAATTTGATTCAGTGAAAATATTTTCAACCCAATAAGAGCATCTGGAGCATTGAATAGTATACTGCTGTACAGTTCATTGAAAAGTTGGCATCTGTAAGAGTAACATCCAAGTCACAAAGATGAAAGGAAGTCCTCTGTGCTTCAGGTAATTTTTTTAATCAGCTGAATGGATGGGAAAGTGATAAGAAAAGTACCAAAGAATTTTTCTTGCATATATGTTAGGGTTGGTAGTGTCTGTTTCCTGGAATTAAGCCTAATAAAAGTCAATTTTCCTGAAATTTCTTGGCAATTTTATCATGCAATGTCCTCATGTCAAGTCAGTGTCTGTATGTCAGGCCTTTTTAATGATTTTTCTATTGAAAAATAAATGTCCCCAGGTCAAATTGTCCCCATGTTGAGGTGTCTGCATCTTGGGCTTATCAAAGAATTTTGTTCTGTCTCACAATTGAAACTGATTCAATCAATATATTTCAACACAATATGGACATTTGAGGAATTGAATACTGATACCAAAGCCTAATAAAAGTCAATTTTCCTGAAATTTCTTGGCAATTTTATCATGCAATGTCCTCATGTCAAGTCAGTGTCTGTATGTCAGGCCTTTTTAATGATTTTTCTATTGAAAAATAAATGTCCCCATGTTGAGGTGTCTGCATCTTGGGCTTATCAAAGAATTTTGTTCTGTCTCACAATTGAAACTGATTCAATCAATATATTTCAACACAATATGGACATTTGAGGAATTGAATACTGATACCTCTGTACAGTTCATAGAATTGTTGACATTCTCTGTAAAAATAGCATTCAAGTGAAAGAGTGAAGGAAGTTCCTCTATGCTAGAGGCAATTTTCTTAAATTAGCTAAATGGATGGTAAATTGGTGAGAGAAATGCCCAAGAACTTTTCTCACATCAATTTTAGGGTTGTAAATATCTGTTTCTTGTAATTTGGCCTGAAATGTATTTGTAATGTTATCAAAAAATGTCCCTAAGTTGAGTCAAGATTGCGATGATCTTATTTTGTTTTTCTGCTCTGTGATGCCATCATTATTGTTGTTGTAGTGTATCTGTTTCTTGTAATTTGGCCTGAAATGTATTTGTAATGTTATCAAAAAATGTCCCCAAGTTGAGTCAGTGTCCTCATGTTGGGCCTTTTTCATTAATTTTTTATGGGAAAATAAGTGTCCCAATGTCAAATTGTCTGCAGGTCAAGGTGTCTGCATGTGGGTGTCTCACTGTATCTGTATTTATTTCTTACAGGGGAAATCAAAATTTAATATTTTTACATTGAAACTTCATTTATGAATGTATGCGTACTTGCAGTTTTGTTTACCTCGTCGAGGAGTTAAATTGTTTGTGTACCATTGACGTTCGGTAACTGCGCCGTTGTCTAGAATTCGAGATGGAAACATTTTTTGGCAAACGAAACATCACGTAGAAGAAATGAGACCGGTGGCGTCAGGTCAGAGAGAGAGAGAGAGGTGCCGGGAATAGTATCTGAAACAAAGTGCGTAGAGTATAATATCTTTTACCATCGCATTTCTTTTCCTCGCGGCATTCTATTTCGAGAGTTTGTATTGATTTCACTTGGTCTTTTTGTTGTTGCATTTTTCAGACTCGCTTTTATACTTGAATTCCTTTCTACGCGGATGAAGCGTTGATATTTTTGAAAAAAGGCCGCGTGGAATGCTGTATTTTATTGTTTGATTTTGGCCTTAATATTTTCAACTTTTTTTTTATGCTCCCTACTACAGTCATTGTTACTCAACTGCAGTTATTTGACACCTTATTGATCTCACAGATACCTTAGTCAACCTATTCTAGTGTACTCAAGACATTAATGCACTAAGTTCGTGTTCCCCAACCCGTGGTCAGTAGCAAATTTTCTGCAGCATAATGCATCTATCAAAAGTAGCAATGAATCTGTTATCATTATCAGAAATTCTGGAAAGACAATGGCTGTTGAAATTATCTGAAAAATGAAAGGTTGGCTCTTCTCCAAATGACGTTTCAGACTAATTTTCACTTGCTGAAGTTAACTATGCAGTGTTAATTTTTCATTCTGAGAAACCTTCACTCAAGCCCTCCTTTCTGATTTTTTGAAGATATCCTGCTATAGCTGCTTCATTAAATATTAACTTGATTTTTTAAAGGAGCAGAAACTGTTCAAAGACCTGCCATAAAGTCTTTCAATTTTTTCAAGCAATACTTTTTGCATTGGCAAAAATTTTATGAAAATTTGCTGTGCTGCAGAAAGTTTTTTTTTTTTATTTGCCAGACTGCAAAAAATTATATGGAAATGTGCCTGTCTGTGAGCCCAAAAACGTTAGGGAACACTTTCTAGAACACAACCTAGCCCAACTAGGATTTATATAATTTATGTTCTGGAACAAGGTTTTTTCCCCCAAGTTTAAATTTGTTTTAATTTAATTTGTTGGTCTGTGGCAAATTATCTTTAGATGAATACATTTATCAAAAGTAGGAATAGAGTATGATATCTTAATCTGAAATTTTGGAAAGACAACAGCAGTTGAAATTATCTGATGAAAAACAAATGTTGGGTTTTCTTCTATAATACTTCTGACAAATTTTCACCTGCTGAAATAAATTATTTAAAATTTTCCTCTCGAGAAACCTCTCTTCAAGCCCATGTTTCTAATTTTGAAAAGAAAATTCACTAAAGCTGCTTCATTGGTTCGTAATTTTTTTTTTTTCAAAAAGCAGAAGCAGACATACCTGCCAGAATGTCTTTTAAAAAATTTTGACTATGCACAAATTTAAGGAAATTTTGCAGGTCTGCAAAAAAATATTATGGAAAGTTGCCAGTACACAGGCCCAAAAAGGTTGGGAAACACTGATCTAAAACTCTATAGATAGTCTAGCCAACTTTCGGAATGCGGAGCTTGGATTCGGATTTTTACAGTGTCTCAAAAAGAAAAAACACTTTTTTTTTTTATTTCCAGGAAACGCCTATACTGTGGGATCCAAGGATTTCTGCGGCGTGGAAACGGACGAAGCGACCATTGTCGAACCCGTCCACCTGAATCCGTTGTTCGCGGGCATTTGGAAGGACGGGATCGTGACGGACGTGGCAGCCAACGAGATCGTGTCCTTTGCTGTGGTCAAGAGTCGGGAGAAGGATTCGGGCGGCAGTGAAGATAAGTTTGCCCTGTTTTCCTGGGGCTATCAAACCCTGCTGCAACTGGCCCGGAACACGGAAGAAGACTGCGTGGAGCCGGAAGAAGTCAACCTGGGTTCCATTGTTCCGCTCCGCGTGTTTGCCGGTGGACAACACGCGGCCCTCCTTGGCAAGGAAACGCTGGCGGATAAACAATAACCCCTCGTTCTGTCTCCCCCCTCTTGGGACTTTTTTTTTGTTTACTTTTGTTTTTAGGCGGTTGATTTCTGTCCCTTTTTTCTGTCTTCTGTGGGAGCAAAAGAGATTATTTTGCTTTTCTTTTCTGCGCCAGGATTGCGATGATCTTATTTTGTTTTTCTGCTCTGTGATGCCATCATTATTGTTGTTGTAGTGTATCTTTTTTTTGTGTGTGCGGAGTTTCCCCAAAAATAATGCAGGGTTCAAATAATGTTCATCTAAAATGTAGTATATTTTCTGCGCCAGGATTGCGATGGAATTTTGTTTTTCTGCACTGTGATGCCATCAGTGTTGTCGTGTTTCTTTGCTTTTTTTTTAGTTTCCCCGAAAACAAGGCAGGGTTCAATTTATATTCAACTGAAATATCCTGGGGTAATTATGGTACAGCCAAATTCCGTTGAAGCAAATCTCTTCATGACGAATTTTTTTCTTGATCCTGGGAATTGTCAGGTATAAAAAAAAATGTGTAACGAAGTAATTTTCCTCTTTAATCCTTCAATTTAACTTTCGCCTTCAGGTCACGGAAATTTTTCAATAATTTACCTAATATAAAAAATCCAACTTGTGCATAATTGAAGAACCTTCATGAAATATCTATCCTTTTTTGTGCAGAAAATTTAGCATTGCGGGAAGTAAAAAATTGAAAATGCGGTCGATCCCACACAAATCTGTTGTGGAAATACTTTAATTATTACGGGATAAATGTTGACAGTGCTTCCTCTGATTCGCTTATCGACTGCCTTTTTTTCTTTTTTTTTAGAATTGGAAGCTCTGTTCTTGTGTAAACTGTATTACCGTAGTTTATAGTGGAAAAAATTTTCACCTGTTTAAAAAACTGCCTGCGTAGTTTATACTGCTTAACTGAACGCTTTTTGAAAGTGCTATTGTTGAGTCCGACATGGAACGAAAGACATATCATTTTTACTTCAGGACTCGTTGAAAACCTCTTGATTTTGATTCCTGAGATTTTAGAAATATTTTTAGTGGTCCTTCATTTTGGATTAGTGGAATTTTTTTTTACAGTTGACGCTCGTATTTTTGGGGAACCTCTTCGATCTTTTTACTTCGGTGTATTCGCGGTCTTGGCGTTGGAAGCTGGGTTCCATTCATGTGCTCTTCATGTTGTTTTATTGGGCCCGTCTTCCGATATATATTTTGCGACTTTTTTATACCTTCACGACCTGATGTTAATGAACTCGGGTTTTATCTGGTTTCCGAGCCTAGTTATTCATTTCTTTTTTTTTTCGTTGATTTTGTCGTCTGCGTTCGTGTTTGTGGCAAGCACGGTCGGCGCATTTGATGCAGGGCTGCGTTCGGGTTTTTTTCGAAGCGTGATGATTATTTATTTTTTAAGTCACGCGTGCCGTTTCCCCGCCTGACACGCTTTGTTGAACCACGAAATTTTTGGACTCCGGGGCAAATGTTGACATAAATTTGTGGCTTCACCGTCGTCCTATCACGCTTCTGTGTCCTAACTCGCTTTTTATAGTTGACTGCATTCTGCGAAAGAGGGAATCGATGTACGCCAAATTGGTGTTACGGAGAATGTCGTATTAATTGAGAGCACGGCAGAACGCATTATGTGATCACTGTGGGTGATACTGTATGCAGTGTTGCACCTGGGTTCCTTCAAGCCCCTCTCTTAAAGCCCTTATAGAATCAATGGATTAAAGAGCCTCGCAGACTCGAAAGGCTTTCCCCTGAAAATCTGCATAACTTGGATCTTCCGGACGCCATTTGGGATAATATTGTATTGACATAGGACAGAGAAAAGCAGTAAAAATGTGCAAGGATGAGTTTTGAAAGGAAGTAGAGAACAATTTGGGCAAATTAACCCTTCCCTTCAATTTCAGCACCCTGTCAAGTTATTTAAGAAGCAATTCAAAGACAAATGAATATCAACAAGTACCATGTCTTTCAATTCTGCTTTCTTCCCCTAAGCATGAAATCAGTGGTTAGTTAGTTGCCTACATAAATTACTGTACCACGGTGCAATGTCCATGGTTCCTGCTGCATGTGGGATGCGAGAACATACAGGCAGCGTCATCTAGGCTTAAAGCTCAAAGTTGACTGGTCAAAGTTCTGCCGTGCGCGGGCAAGGGGATAGAAGTGGTTTATTGAAAATATGCCAATAGAGTTAAGCCTGTCGTCCAATTAATGTCTATGCGGCGTAGCGTATTGACCGCGTTTGCGTAATTATCTTCTGCAGTAATGTTATTGAATGCAATTTTTTTCCAGTACTAAGCATCATTAGCCGTATACAGCACTGTAGTTATTTCCCTAACCTGTCCCAACTCAAAACCCCTCATCTGTTGAAGAGGTACATTATAACTATATATACAGTACTTGATTATTGCGTGACTCTGCAGAACGCTCCTTTATCTCCTGCAGAGCAATTAAATGTATGTCCATGATTAAATGAGATCAAATGGTTTGAAACTGTATGGTCCCCAAGTGCCACAGAATGGTCACAAGAATCATTTGAATGAAAACTTCCAACAAGAAAAGTTGCCAGGCAACTTTTCCACTAAGGTGTTGATCCAGAAAGCTGTTTGCATCAATAAAGGAAACAAATAATGCAATAATGTAACCAGCAAACTCGGAGAGCCTGCACATGTTCCCAAAAATTCAGACAGAGGGGTTGAAAATGGGGAAGGAAATTAGCAAGATAAGATGCTGCAGAGTTCCTGTCTGCATCTGGTTAAATTTTTTCATCTTTAATATCATTCATTGATGCAAACAGCTCTCAAGATCAGCAGCTTAGTGGAAAAAGTCACCTGCAAACTTTGTTTCAAATGTTCATCCAAATGGTTCTTGTTACAGCCATTACACTTGGGACCACATACAATAAGTTTATACCATTTGAAAGAGAATTGAACAAGCTTTCATTTTGTGTGTATTTTCATTGCCAGGCCTCAATTTGCTGCTGGGCTATTTCAAGTCAAAAGTCAGTTCACTTTTTTTTGGCCCACCCTGTATAGTCCATATGATACATGCGGTCGAAGTCCTGCAGTACAGAACGTGTTCCGCGCGTCTTATTGGTAATATCCGAATAATTCTATACCATACCCCTGCATAAAAAATCTGAAATTGAACGATGCTCGGAAATCAAACAATAAATCCCCGGAGTTACGCGAATTTTTAGCACGTGTCACAATAATCAATCAAAATACCGCGCCCATAAATGAGTGAACGCGGTGCCGGACCCAAATATTACGCCCAGCTCCCCTCAGCAGGGATGAATCGGATGATGAGTGTATGAGGGGGTTCTTTCCTTCATCTAAGCCACTGTTTTGTGACCGTGAATGTTTTCAATTTCATTCCGTCATCATAAAAAAAAATCCCTGATCTTTCTTCAGGGTCGAAATACGCACAGCTGGCGCACTGATACGCATCCTATATCGTTTGGTCTATTTGCCTATACAGTACAGTATAAAAAACAGAGGATGTCTGTGGTTCGTGCTGTAAGAAGCGCGGATCCAGCAGTTCTGGCGACGCTCGATATGTTTGGCTTCCTTACTTGACATCCTCTATTATCAGGGGACAAGGACAACTTATTCTGTACTGATTTCATTTTCCCCCGCTCGCTTAATTAAAGCAACAATAAGAGCTAACTGAGAAAACAAAACGTGAAACACTATTCCCGAAGGACGAAGAGGAAGGAGCGCGAGTGTACAAGGCACGCCGAATATAAAGAGGCTGCGAAGATTCGCCAATTTAATGTACTGCACTGTAGGATAGAATAATATGCATTGTTTCTGAAGAGCATTCAAGGAGTGGAAGAATTTTAAATATAGTATACATTGAATACTCAATGCCCCTCCGCGGGAGAGTGATAAGAATACAGTCAACCCCTGTCTAACAGACTTGATTTGTGCAAGGGACAAGTCTGTTAGACGAAAAGTCCTTTACACGAATTCAATTACATAAAAAATTAAAAATTTAAATTTTCAACATGAATTTCAAACCAAAAGAACGGTGCGGGGATAATTGCCTGGTTTGTGAGATCGTGCGCGCCGAAGTCATTTTCAATTCGAACCTCTATACTGTACACGAAATACCCGGTCACCATCTTTCTATAACATTTATTATGAGACATTTTTACCCGGAACACTTGGCTTTGAATTCAAATATCATCCTAGCTGAGCAATATCCACCGTCGTATATATAGGCGTTGCAGCAGGCAGCTCACGTGTCAGAATCCTGAAAAACGTAACCAGGCTGCTGTGTGCATTTATCGCAGAAAGTTTGCGATTGTCGGTAACTTTACTTTTAGTACACTACTGTAGCTGCAATCCGAAACTTGAGGGCCGCGGATTCGCATCATCTCCGCTGACTCACGTAATCACTTTCGACTCTTCCTGTTCGACACTGAAGTACAGCAGGCAGGCGTCGAATGACACGAGCAGCGTTGCCGTTACGACAATCGGATGCGAGGTTTATTAAAGTTTGAGAAGATGTCGCTCACTCCGACTGGGGCTCGGTAATCTACAGCTATTTTTGCATAATAAAGATGTCGTTTCTACGGAACCTATACTCGCGTCTGCGGCGCTTCCAGGTCTCATTAATAATAATAATTACTGCGTACTTTTGGCCTCCACCCCTTCCAAAATATGAAGGCAACATTCTAAGCATCATCAAGAACGTTATCGTTTGTCAACTGGAAAATTGATTCTAGCTTCTATCACATTTCCCGAAGCAACTTCAATTTCGTTCGTTGAACGTATACTCGTCGCTAATAATTCGACCTTCCCGCGCCTTAATATTATATTATAGCGCTATCAGCATATGCTGCATGGAACCCTTTGAACAAATATTTACGTATTATTGAGCATGGCACACGTTTTGTTCGTCCTTTTAAGTATATCGAAGGACGTCTTTTGTTGATTTGTATCCTCGTCATCGTCGACGAGATACGCCTCGGATTCTGTTTCTGACGCATCTTGAATCAAGATGTCCTTCGATTCCTTCCGGAATTACCGTATTCTGCTGCTGCTGGTTTTGAACAATAATGCCTTTGACCATGAAAATTCTGTCAAGAATAAATGAACAGCATATTTTTCTTTATAAGGCAGGGTTGTCTTGAGCATGTGTAGACCGATGTCCTGTGTATTGTAAATTAAATACAGCAGTATACTGTACAGTAATTTGAATGCATAGTATTATACAGTGCATAACTGCCCTGAATTAATAACTCAAACCTTCTTTAGTTAAAAAAAAAACCGCTCATGTCGAATGCCTCTGCCTAAATTTCCATGAGAACGGCTGTTTCAATCTGGATTCTGAAGTTGAATTATTAATATTGTATGGTCTACTAAAGGTTATTAGACCATGCAGTATGATGTGCAACCCTTGTATAATATTATTGGTTGACATGCTGCAATAACGGAAAGTATATTTTGCTGGTCCAGGGGAAATTTCTTTCAGGTTGATAAAATAATTTATCAAAGGTAGCGCAGAATTCTGTTACCTTCATCTGTAGTTTTTGAAATACTGTATACATGTTGAGATTATTTGATGAAGAGCAAAAGTTGGCTTTATTCCCATCAGGGATATGGAGCAGGCCAACAGCAGGAATAGATCTGTTCTCACTTCTCGCTCAGGGAAGGGGGGGAGGGTTTGGAAGTGCTTGCGATGACGTCCGCTTCGATCTAGTGGGGACATCTCGGTGCAAACCGGTTAGCGACTATTTAGTGCCATGCCGCGCGCACGGAGTGCGGTACGGAGTGCAGTGCGGTGTTAGGAGTTGACGAAGGTTGAGGCGCGCAGTTGGTGGAAGCATGTTTCGTCAAAGCCTAATTTCTTGTTGATGACGGCGGATATCTGTGCATACGAAAGGAAAGAAAGAGTGATTGTCCCAATGAAAAATGTTTAACCGTACTGTTTAAAAATGAAAGGAAGAAAAGATTAAAGGGTACGAACCGACGAAGATCCCATTGATATGTCTTTGCATGAAGTGTTAAAATTTTCCCTGAAATTTATACTGGGTATTGCCACTTCGCGAACTAATTGTGATACCAATGCGTGAGGGCGAGTAAGCTTTGATCGAAGACATTCGTGATCAAAAGAGAATGGGCTATCGCACTTTTGCATATGTCATTTTTTGGAGATCTGCTCCCGTTGAATTCTATCAGAATAATGTGGTGTTTCATATTTTGAGGTGCCGCTGTTCAAACTGTTCTCACATCAGCTGTCACAACACTGGTTATTAAATTCGAAGAAAAGTACCTTATGTCCTGTCCCATGAATATCGTTTTCGTCCATGCGCCTTCGTTTTTGTTCAGTAACTGTTCTGATCAGTCGTGCTGGATGTCTCGAGCGGACAATGTGTGCATCGATGATGCGTATAAACATGTTACAGTGAGTGGAATACGCGATGATTTAATTGTTCTCACAGAAATAAAGAAGAAAACAAAACGCGGGCTCGAGACTTCTGCGCGCGTGTTTGAGGACCTTGCGATGGTGGCCTGGACTAGTTCGGGAAACTAAATGTCTCGCATTCTGTCTTGGCGCGTTGGTGAAGAGTGTTGATGTGGCCTGCAATATTCATCCAATTTCCTGTCATTGAAGATGTCGTTGGAATTTTCCAGGGTTTTATTGGACCGCTGAACGATTCCGTGACTCTTGGACCTATGTATTTTGCTCTCCGCGTGCGCAGGTGCAGGGCTACTACTGCAACTGGATATTTGCTGGCTGACATTCCCCCTTAATTTATAGTTCGAAATCAAACGTGGTCGCTAGAGAACTTCTTTCCGTAAGAGTGTTTTTGGAGACATTTTTTCAGGGCAGTTGAACATGCATTTGCATTGTTTAGGTGACAATGTCAGCGACACTTCCCGAGGATGATGGTGTGTATGAAACCAGTGTGCACTCCATGGACGAGAACGACAGTGTTCCCCTCGACTTCGACATTCACACAGATCTGCGGGAATCTTTGTACTTCTTCTTCCTGAATCCAATAGACAAGTGGAAATTCAAAAAAAAGTTTCCCTACAAGCTGATATTGCAAGTTCTGAAGATTGTTTTTGTAACGACGCAGGTGAGCTATGTTAAGTTCTTTTTTAATCTTAAAAAAAAAGGATTTTACTCGTAGAACTGGGTATTTTCATTTCCTTATTGTGGAATGCATGCGATCTTGTGATTGCAATTTATTTGTACACGTTTTTTAGTGGTTGTGTAACATTCTAACATGAATTTTTCAAATTTGATTTCAGCTCACGCTTTTTGCTGGATACCGTTATTCTCATGTGGACTACACTAGAACTGTGGAAACCACAATGCGGCACTTATTTATTAAGGACTGGGAAGCCTCTAGGGAAGTAGTTGTTTATCCACCGGGAAATGGACCGCTTGCAGTGTATACTCAAAGCGACTTTTTCGGCCAGATTGATTTCACTGTCAACGCCGTGAGTTACGAATACTGTATTTGCATGCCCTTGAATTTGAGTATACAGTATTGGTAATCACGTTCAATTGTTAACTGTTTTTCTTTGTTCCGGACGATCGTATTGCAAAAGCAGACGTTTCGTGTTACTGAAACGCAAGCATTTATTGAATTCTAATAATTACAGTATGCCACCATTCGAGAGAAAGCAGTTGCGTCGTTTTCGTATTCAAATCCTGATGGATCTGTTGCTCCAGTGATGTTCTGCAAGAACTATTACAAGCGTGGAATAATTTGGGCATTCAACGAAAGCTATATCTTCGATGGAGACATTCTCAGGAGTAATTCCCAATTGATTTTTATTTTCCTTTCGTCTTGATAATTTACTTCTGTCCTCGTAGAATGCATTGAAATCCCATTCGAGGAAATGAATATCACGACAGGATTCGACAGTCGTGCCTTCTTGGCGCAGAAGAATTTCTCCATAAATTTCGATGTTTTCGTTTCGGGAGAAATCAAATTCGACCTGAAGACAATTAACTTCCGGAAAATCATGCCTCTGGACATACCGGACTGCTATAAACTCAACGTGATGGTAAAGCTCGTGTGGATAACGATGTCGACCTGGTTCCTGTTTTCACTCCTATTTCCCGAACTGCGCAGATTCTGTTCGACAACGAGGACCATGATGGTCAGATACAAGTTATTCTCTCCTCTGTTGCGGAGAAACTCGTGTGTGAGGGAGATACGGAATCCATCGGTGAGACTTCCGCCTTCAATAGCTAGGGAACCCCGGAAGTGACCTTGATCTTGCTTTCATTTTCCCAGCCCACAACACAACTGCGCTGATGGTACGCACCGTCTTGAATAGCATCGTTGTCCTGTGTTGCTTTTGTTCATTTCTTTTGTGCGGACGTGCGCTGATCCGAGCTCATCAGCTGAAAGAGGTAATTTCAATATCAAGTTTGATGAGCCAAAATGTTGAGGTAAAGTTGTGTGTTCCAGCGAACTGCGCGTCACTTCCGCCGGTATCTGAACACAACTCTTTCGTTCAACGATCAGCTGGAATTCGTGAATCTGTGGTACTTGATGATCCTGGTGAACGATGTTCTGATAATTTCTGGTTCCATCGTCAAAGAATTGGTTGAGAGCAAGGTATGTATGCTGTATTTTGTACTGGATTCTTCTGGAACTCGATGCTAATTTATTAAAAGACTTGTGTGTCCCAGTCCATAGGAGACTGGTGGAATGTGACCGGGGTGCTGCTAGGAACCGGAAATCTCATGGTATGGGTGGGAGTGTTGCGATATCTCGGATTCTTCAAGAAGTACAACGTGAGTATTTTCAGTATACATTTTTCTCGCTAAAAGAAAGTGATTAACTTTTCTCCCCTCCTGACCAGATACTGATATTGACGCTGAAGAAGTCGATGCCAAATATTCTTCGATTTCTATTCTGCGTGATTCTCATCTACGCTGGATTTGCCTTGTGTGGTTGGGTGGTTCTTGGGCCATACCACATCAAAGTGTGTAACATCTGGTCTCTTGTTTTCGATTTTTGAGTGAAATTTTCGATTCCTTTCTATCCAGTTTCAAACACTTTCGACTACGTCGGAGTGCTTATTTGCGCTTGTGAATGGCGACGACATGTTTGCGACGTTCAAATCGTTGGCGACTGAATCGCCATTGCTGTGGTGGTACACGCGCATCTACCTCTATTCGTTCATCACGCTCTTCATCTACGCCATTCTCTCATTATTTACCGCCATTATTCTCGACACGTATGAAACAATCAAGGTGAGCACGTGTGTTCAAGTGCGCCAAATGAAAAATTCTCCTATTCCTTGTGCTCGAATGTCGTGAGATTTTGACCGTCATTTGGGGGGGGGGGGGTGGCCTCTTCATCTGTGCTATGAATGTAAGCACCTGTGTTTGTGTTTTGTGCAGCAATACTATGAGAATGGATTTCCGCAAACCACGCTGGAAAAGTTCATCTTCGTGAGAAAAGATCAGCATATTGGGATGACGGTTTACCAGGAGCCCTCGTGTTTCCCGCCGTGCATGAACTGGGTTGATCGCTTCATGTCGTCGTGCTTTGGCTGGAGTTCCAAACGGCTTTTCAGTCCACGTCCGAGCGACGCGAGTTCTCTGTTGGAAACTGTGTCTGGGTATGCATCGTCAACTCCTAATTCTGATACGGTCGCACGCTCGCCTAATAACAGCCGTAGGAGAGGTTGTTGCATTTGAAAAAATAAAATCTAGATGAGGCAGCGGTTGCAGCCCGTAGTTTTCTTCGCATGCTCTTTTTTTTTGTGGATTGCATTTTTGTGATATATGACGAATGCTTTTTCCTTGTCAAAATTTTTAAATGTGTTGAAGGATTTTTCGTGAGGGCTTCAACCTGCAGTATTTGGTATTTGAACGTCAATCCGTTGTTTTTGTATCGGTTGATGAAAATGTTGTGATTTACTTTTCATATCCGAGAGGCTATTACTCTATTTACCGTACTCGAGTACCACTCGTACCCAACTTTTTCAGTCTGAAATTTGGATTAAAATGTATTCTAAAATAAGACGTGCATCGCATTTCCAGAGACAGAAAATTGAAAGATTTTGAGACAAGAAAACCACGAGAATGTAAACTTCGACACGAATTTTAGTTAATTTTTCATCTTTTCCATTTTTTAAATTACTTGTAGAAATTGGTTAAATATTACCTGTTGGAATCAATTATGAGGTGCACCAAAGCTTTAAAAAATTTTTACCTGCCGATGACATGCACCCTCATATATTTCTAATTTTGAAGAAAAAAATGTGTGCGTGGTACTCGAGGAAATTCGATGGTTCATTTTTGCAACGTTTCCGAAGAAAATTTAAAGTTCGGTTTCAGTGATATTGTCAGAGGCTGGGAAATGAGGGTTCTTTTTGTGCTTGAGATTGTAATTGTGGTTAAAATTTAACGTTTTCGTTTTTTCTGTCGTGAAGTTTGCCGAGGTATTGAACTAATACTTGTTTTTCATTGCCGATTGCTTCATTAATCTTTCTCTTGATTTGCATGATTTATGTAGCTAGACTTTTGTTCGTCAAGTGTCGCTGTGTTAACGCCGACAAGCATGACTCGCATTGCATTTCCGAACACTCCCCTTGAGATTACGTAGGCTTATAAATCACAACTTTGAAACTTTCCACTCATGAAAGTTTCATTTCATAGTAGGTCGTCCCAGCCATCGCATGACCTTGCCTGAATTTGTTTTCATCTGTATTTACTGTACATATACCGTACTTGATTCGTCTGGGTTGTCGCTATATTTTTGACTTGCGATCTGAAATGCAGCCTTTTCTGGCATTCGAGATTGCACGCTTTTTGTCCCGTGAAATCATGAGTTTGGAATGTAAAGTTGATTTTTTTTTCATCGGTGGACACAGAATTTTAACCTGTGGATGGTTCGCATTCCTGTATTTTCTGTCAGGCTGAGGAATGACGAGCGTGAGCCTCTTCTCCCTGAGAAGCAAGGTCAGGCAAGTCCTACAGGCTATCAAACGTGTGATCGTCTTGATGCTGGAACATGGCATTGACATTATTCTGCGTGCAGATTCTCGGGCTGTGGTGTCATTTTTTTTTTTTATATATACCCGTCGCGCTGACTGGAGTCTTCACAAGTCGGGGCATTTATTTGTGATAACCCTTGTGTACTGCAGATGGAGAGAAAAAACAATCGGGTAGCGCGAGAAAGTCCTTGAGCTGTTGCACTGAGATTACCTAGCTTTTGTTTTGTTATTATTCGCCCGAGAATAAATCTCGTGTTTGTGGACGTTCTGCGAATTTTCCCGCATTTGAATAGCCCTTGAAAACATAACCACCTTGTTTTAAGGTTCGGAATGACGTAATGTTTGATCATTAAATCTACAACACCTTTGATGGCAGATCGAAGGGATGCGGAATTATCATCTTTGGACGGGTCCATAGCATCGCCTGACGTTTTGAAGGATATTGATTCTACTGATGATGATGCGTACCCGGCTCTTCTCACTCGACATAAATGTATTCTTCTTTCCATCTACGAAATCCGACACATTTTTTGAAAAATCTGCCGCAGTTTGGGAAATCCTTTTGCATGTCGAAGTCCTCGTTCACAAAATAGGGTTAAACGTTGCTTCCACAAGACCGTGAATTTTACGGTTTCACGCGATAAATTGAAGTGAACCCAACCAGAATCGGGCAAAATTCTTCGAGACGATCACCTGAGCTGGTGTTGACGTTAGGAAGCCATGATTACATAAATGATCGGGCGACCGCGCGATCGAACATGGATGATCCAGGCATCGAAGCGGAGTGTGCAACAAATTCTGTTCCTTTCGAAGGATTATAACTAGTTCTCTCCTGTAATTAAACTTTGTCAAACCGTGCTGGGAATTTGCTTCTGTGCCATTCTCGCAATGCAGCTGATGAATCGCTCACCGAGAAAGAACTTCCAACAGCATGAGATTCGAAGAATTACGCACATCTTGCTTCTCTAGGGAAGGACGAAAGAGTCCGTTGATGCAATGCGAAGCTCCTGATACAGTACTATACTGTACCGTATGTGCATGCCTTGGTTTTGGGTATTATACCGGTGCATTGGTGTACAGTACGTGCTCTTATATTTGGTATTCGGGATTCACTATTCTCGTAGTTCACAGGTATTTCGACTTGCGTACTGTACTTGGTTCCTGGAACTTGGCCTAACTACCTGGATTCCTCGGATTGTTTCGCAACGCGTTCTGAAAGTTGTGTGTCAAGGTTTCACCCTGACACGACGTGTCCTGATTTTTTTGTTTCGGTCGTGTTCGGTATTGTGGAAATATCGTGTCCGGTATTGTGTAATTCTTAGAGCTTCCGAGAATCTCCCGCGAGTCGCCTGCTGCTTGAATGATATATTGTGCCATGGCATTTTTTATGTTCGATTTCCAAGTGCGTAATTTTGAGAAGATCTCTTGGCGGTCATCAAGATATTGATTTGGAGTGAAGAAACCTACATGAAAACCGAAAGGCTAGTTTTATTGTGGATTTGGGAAGTTGACATATTCTTCGTGAAAATGCAAGCAGGAAATGCAAATTTCCACCATGATGAAAGCCCTTTCGCGTGAGTACGTACAAATACGTTATGGACAATTTCTTTTTTTTTTAAAACAAGAATCCACTGTTGTATCCTAAAATTTTGTGACTTGACTTGAGAAGTTTTAGGTAATGGTGGTAACAAAACGGGTGCATGAGAAAATCCCGCGTGAACGGAAATCCCGAGACATGAATTTTTGTAGATTAATCCTTTTTGATAAATGCATTAGGTAATTAATCGTGCATAATTTCCAAACTATTGAATAAGTCTAAATTCAGTTTGATAGTGAAATTTCATTCTCTCAAATTGCAATCTGAATATTCAATGTACAATGCGTGATAAATAGCGTAAAATCACATTTTTAAATTTTAAAAAAGTTGTTAACTCGTCGAGATTTTCACCCGAATAAGGGCAATGAAAGAATAAATGCACTGATTTGCTTGTCTCAATCGTGTCTTGCTATTTGATCCACTGTCTCATCCCAGACACGCTTTTACAATTTCATAGTAGAGTATTTTATACGGAATTTTCGGACCTCTCAAGATTTTTAGGCCTCACGGATTTTTTCATGGAGCCAACAAAACTTATCCAACTAATACAAATCTAACTGTTTTGCTGAACATGCAATATTGATAATTTCCGCTTCTTTTTGATGAGGTGGTGATGTTTTTTTTTTCGTTTTTAGCAAGAGGAAACGTGCTGTGAACTTCATAATTACTGTATTCTTCTGTGCCCTTTTTAGCTGCCTCACGGATTTTTTCATGGAGCCAACAAAACTTATCCAACTAATACAAATCTAACTGTTTTGCTGAACATGCAATATTGATAATTTCCGCTTCTTTTTGATGAGGTGGTGATGTTTTTTTTTTTTTTTCGTTTTTAGCAAGAGGAAACGTGCTGTGAACTTCATAATTACTGTATTCTTCTGTGCCCTTTTTACGCGGTGAAATACTGAAATTTGCTGGTAGCAATCATTTGAAAAGAAGTACTGCACCATACTCATATTTGTCCTAATTTTTAAGCGCTATGTTTAGGAGGGGATCGGAGGTGAAGATGTCGGCTAATCAGGATTTTCGCTTCCTTTTCTGAGGGAAACCATTTTGAAGTCAGCACGACGTATCGTAAAGATGATCGCTCCTATGCAGGAAACATTTCCACCGTTGGTGGAATCGACATTTTTGTGCGATTGCTTTGGGAATCTGATGAGAACATGACACTTTTTTGAACAAAAGTGAGTTCCGAACAATTCACAGAATTCGCTGTAATCGGATTTCCAAGGTAAAATTTCGTTAATCGGGTTTGTCGGCATTCCTCGGCAAGATTAGCTGAGTGAGGATTTCACCTGATTATCCGCGGAGAAAGTTTTCTTCCTTTTCCTTGAAGATGACCTCGACGTTGTATTTTTGTTTTCCTCATGATTCCGGATAAACCGAGGACAGCTTCACTGTATCCGTAAGACGTTTCAAGCATATTCCTTTAGTCTAATTCTCGACACAGACTTGAATGGTTGATTTTCTGGTTGCTGTCGTCTCGTAAAATGTCCGATTCAAATATGTTAATATTTCCCATCGGTGAGTTTTATCGTGAGTCGCTTCGTGATGAACACGGAGTCATTATTTTCACCGCAAATTTTTAGTGCTCCTGTTCTTGACGGCTTCTGTGTCGGTTGCCCAAGATCCTCCGCAACAGCTGATGCCGTTCAAGTCGTTTGCGACATTGCCGTCTCGGTCTGATCTCGGTAGAACTGTGATCGAATCAGCGGTGGAAAAAGTCACTTACACCATTTGGAAACAACAATACGTGGCGTTCAACACCATTTCAGCCGCGTTTCAAGTAGCGGTGGCAATTGTGGGTCCGATAACGAACACGACCACCATCACACCTCCACTGAAGGAGGAAATGTCCGCTATTGTCAAGAAAGTGTTAAAAGAGTTCGAGAAGAGTTCGCCGGGTATCTTCCCCGCGAACACGAATTACGACGAGTTGTCGAAGAAAGTTGTCGGCGAGTCCACGAAAAAATTCAAACCCCTGCCTGGTCAAATTGGGTTGAAAGTGGAACCGTTTAGTAGCCTGAATGACTTCAGTCCAGAATTACGTGAAATGGTTCTAGGAAATGGAGTTGAAGTTGTTTCTGATGTGTCTGTTGAAGCCGAAGCCAGCAAACCCGTTGGTAGAGACGAGTGATATTTCAATAATAAAACTTGACTTGCGGTTTTTCTGTACTTGCCTTTCTAAATCCTTGAACGATGAGTTTTGGTATTCATGTTTGATTTTTTTTCGTCATAGAAGTTTCCTGTTTTGTGCGTGTGATCTGAAAATGAGACTCAAATCTTCGTATGGTGAGATATTTTCCGAATCTATACTTATTCGTTGAGTAAACGATCCAAAGTTGTGGTATTGAAACTTATCTCGATTTTCTTTTTGTTTGACATGAGGTACAAATTCGGCGAATGAAATTCGTGCTGATTCAATAGTCTCAATATTTTGACTCCATGTATTGAATGACTTGACACGGCTTAATATCTGAGATGGTTATTTCGGGTTAATATTCATAACATGAACGAGTGATTCGTAACCGGCAATTCATGATCTTGCATTTTTTTCTGCTTTTTGTTTCCAGTTGGAACCATTTCCGTGGTCGTCTCGTCTCTCGTCATTCTTTGCAACGCCACGATGAATTTCCCGCAACTGAGCCCATTGAATTCTCTTCCCAGCATGAGTCCAGCAGAGAATCTCTTCACAAAGAGTCTTTTACTTATGCGAAAACCTCAAGTTTCTTTTCGTGTGGATCCCGTGATGCTGGAGAAAACTATTCTTGAGAGTTTAGTCGAACAACTGACCTATGTGCTGTGGAAGAGCAAGTTGGCCGTGTTCAATGCAATTTCAGCTGCGTACCAATTGGCTGCTGTCGTCGTGGGTCCTATAACCTCCTCGGATGACCTCACCCCGGAAAAGGAAAAGGCCATGATCTCAACAGTGTCCGGAATGCTTCAGAAGTTGGAGCAAACGTCTCCAGGATTGTTTCCGAAAGAACTGAACTTCGAATTGGTTGCCAAGAAGGTCGTGAATGAGGTGTGGACAGCCGCGAAAAAGGGAAACGGGCCGAGTTTTTCTTCGCTGGAGGATTTCAGTCCAGAAGTTCAGAGCATGCTCGGTTTCCATGGAGAGAATGCGAGTCCGCTTAAACCAGCTGCTCAAGCGAGTACCACGAGTGTTGGTCAAAGTAACACCAGTGTTGTTGGTCAACAAGTTCATCAGACGCTGTCGGGGCATGGTGGTCCTGCTTCTGGTGCTCCACCACCACCATTCGCTCTCGTCTATCGAACGGTATGCTCCTCTTTTTCTTTGTATAGATGTCGCTTCACTCCACGTTCCCTTCGGTCAAAATGTCCGATCCTCGTAATTAAGATGATAATTCGGTCATGATTCTTTAAGCTTGAGTCAACATCAGGATGAGTACATTTTTAATTCCTGATCACTTTTCCGAAATTTCTTGAGTGAATTATATACTGTGTAGATTTCTACTGTCATCGTTATTTCCGCATGTCTTCGAGTTGTACCAGAACGAATCATTCGACCCGATAGGCTCCAAAAGTGAGGCATAAAGATAGGTTTCATACTTTTCACGGTCATTATTTAGGGTTCACCAGGACGGTTCCTCGACTTGAACTTTGTTTTCATTACCTTAATTTTCGACAGGCGAATGAGTCGACGATTGAAAGCAAGGACGTTGAAGGGAAGGACAATGCGACTAAATCCGTCGTCAACATATTGTTCAAAAATGCTACAAAAGCTGTGAATGTTACGGAAACGCGCGAAGCGATACAAGGACCAATGTTTATTGAAATACGAAGTGGGCATGTTGGTGAAGATCTCGAGAAAGAATCCGGGAATGAAACTGTCGTTGCCGCTAAGAATGATACGGTTCGGCAGTTGAGTTCTCCTGTGCCACAGGAATGCTCTTCTCGTAAGTGTAATTTTTTCTTCTTCAAATTTTGCTTAAAACAAACTAACCTTACTTATGAATGTGCGAATCTATGATGTGACATGGATTTGTGTCGATGTTAATCAAATTTTGCTGCTAATTGAATTGGAAAATGTTCTGTAAAACATGAAAATAGTTTCTTTCTGTGAACCACTTAGTTAGATTCCTCGAAATCTCCTTCGTGTATTGTCTCATTACTGTATCGTATTTCATTGCGTATTTCTTCGTTACCGTGTATGATACATTTTCCTCAGGTTTTCGAAGGTACTTCGATTGTATAGGGTAATGTTTCATCTGTCGTGAATTACAAGAACATCTCGCGACTTAATTCTGGTGACATGTACGTAATGACTTATATTCTGGCTAAAAAGAACCCGTATTTCCTAATGCAGTACTGTATCTCGATTACAGTATTCTGGGTATGCTTTTCAATCCACGCTGATTTTATTTTTCTATAGGAAGAAAAGATGCCACTTACGGCGCGCACAGTTACCTTTTCTCCTGGGATGCTGGCGTATCTCCGCAAAATTGGCTGAACGCGAGGAATTTCTGCCGGAGAAAGTGTATGGATTTGGTTTCCTTGGAATCGCCGTCTGAGAACGAGTTCATCAAGTCGCATGTGTCAACAGGTCTGTCTGTAAATTTTGCCGGAATGTTTACATGAGTCTCTCTGAACATTCGGGAACTATACTGTATATGCAATCGAAAGCGGGTAATGGTCGTAAGCAATCTCGTAAAGCGCAATCTACACCCAATTTTATTGGTAATGTTTGTTACTCTCTTTTGAATTCTGCCCCAATAAAATTTCGATTGCATTATTCCTTCATCGATCCGCTATTATTCAAATTTTGAAAGAAGAACATTCCCAGCTCATTATTCTTTTCTTTCAGCCTGGCGAAAAGGTCTGATCAAATACATTTGGACTTCCGGAAAACTGTGTGACTTCCCGGGTTGCGACCGAGCTGACCTCCAACCGATCCTCACAAATGGATGGTTTTGGTCCGGGTCTGGAGCCAAGTTGTACCCGCCAGGGTTTGACGGTAGTAACTGGGGTAAGTACTGTACCTGATTTTTTATTTGTATTTGGCTCATTCGTCTGTGAAAATATTCATTTTTATATGTTTTCCTTAGGTATTTCGCAGCCAGATCAACGTGAAGGTCAGGAAAGCTGCGTAGCCATGTTGAATCCGTCAGTTTATAATGAGCCGAGTGGACAATTTGCTTGGCACGACATCTTGTGCAGTTACCCGAAACCGTTCGTGTGCGAAGATAGCGACAAGTTGTTGAGTTACGCGCGTGCTTCGACGAAAATTCCCATTCCTTGACAAATTTTTGATTGTGTTGTGAGAATCTGTGATTTGAGATTTTGTCATTGAAGTTGAATACAATAATTTTCTACTTTCTTTTCGTGTCTCGTCCTTTTTACTATCTATTCTCGAGGAATTTTCCACTCCTTCCCATGAATAATACATCGGCAGAATGTTCTCTGAAGTTGTGGGGTTCTTCTGCTGTAATTGTGAATAATTTAGACGTGCATTTTGCCTTCATTGACTTCAACTAAGATGCATGCGAAATATTGATTTATAATTTTTTGCACAATAAGGAAAGTAAGAGATATTTTTCGACTTCAGAGTCTCAGTTTCATGCTTCGAAGAACAAGGCTGGCGCGAGATTGGCAGTTGCAAACGGCATCCCGGATCGAGAAAGATCCACATATGGAAACCAATGGGCATTGCGTATGCTTTGAATAAACGTTTATTGGTTCAATCAAGCTCAGAGGGCCATCGTCAGCACTCAAACCTCCCCCAAAAGTACGAAACATGCCCTCAATGAATCAAGTAATGATATAAATAGGATTCCATACAAAAGCAATTTTGAATGAAACCAATCAGCCTCTGAATCCACCGCCTTGGATCTCGCAGATGAAGGGTTTCTGGTGATGGCAAGAAACGTCATGCCACACGATACCATCGCGGTAGAAATTGTTGAGAACCGCCAAACAGAACTCGTTGCCTTCGCGATTATCAGGCTGGGGGCGCCCGGATCCACCAGTGCGAGACCATTGTCCTGAAGAACATGCGTGATATACAGTTTATACATTATTGATTTGAGGAAAATATTGTTGAAGCGATTTTCTTCAAAAATATTCTATATATCTCTCCAAGCTTAGACACGATCACTATCGCCGTACACCGAAGCGTATCCAAATACACACCTCACGCACGGATATATGAACTATACGACCCTTCTTACATACAAAAGTGAAATAACTTTCCTAATGAAAAAGTGAATGAAGTACAGTACATGGTTCATATACTTCATGTTTCAGTTTAATGCTCTTAAAAAGTAATTTTAAAATGTTGAACCAATGCACATTTTCTGTGAGCGCCACAATCACATGCAAATGATGATTCACTAAGTATTAATCTGACAAAACCCCCTTCCCTTCACTGTCTAAAAATATTGTGGAGAGGCCAATAAGAGGGTTACAAAAGGCTACGAATGTAGTACTGTATGTATTAGCGCAATTAAGATATACAGTACCTTGATCAAATCGATGAGTTTACATCGTCAAAAATAGAGATCTCACCAAAACGTATCGGAGATCCGTTGGAAGACCAAACCCAGCCGTTGCGGTTGCGTCTGCCAGAGGTCCAAATGTACTCCAATCTCTCTGTAAGAAGAGTATTATTATACACAGATTGACTTTCTGCATTTATTATTACACCGTTTTTGACCTTCTCATTGTGTTTCAAGGATTAAATGTTGCAGTGATGATGAGAGACATGTAAACGCCGTTTGTTGACCTTGCTTTCGAATTCAAAATTAGCGTTTAAAGTATTTTCTTGAATTCTGTCGAAGGTATATCTATGTAACGACCAGCGATGATTCACTCGCCGAGACTCCGGTCCAAGTATTCGACGCGGACCTCAATAAAGTGTGGTTGTGCTTTAAGAGGAGTGCTTTAAGTGGGGATGACATAGTGAGATCATACCTTGAGCAATGATTCCTGTGACAAAGTTGGCTTCTTGAGGAGTATCCAATGAAACCAAACCCATGCCAAGTTGGCGACAGAAGTTATTTGCACCATCCCATCCTACTTGAAGACCTCGATTCTCTCGCCAGGAGTAATAGTAGCTGCTTCCTCCGAATTGTCCNGACTTCCCGGGTTGCGACCGAGCTGACCTCCAACCGATCCTCACAAATGGATGGTTTTGGTCCGGGTCTGGAGCCAAGTTGTACCCGCCAGGGTTTGACGGTAGTAACTGGGGTAAGTACTGTACCTAATTTTTTATTTGTATTTGGCTCATTCGTCTGTGAAAATATTCATTTTTATATGTTTTCCTTAGGTATTTCGCAGCCAGATCAACGTGAAGGTCAGGAAAGCTGCGTAGCAATGTTGAATCCGTCAGTTTATAATGAGCCGAGTGGACAATTTGCTTGGCACGACATCTTGTGTAGTTACCCTAAACCGTTCGTGTGCGAAGATAGCGACAAGTTGTTGAGTTACGCGCGTGCTTCGACGAAAATTCCCATTCCTTGACAAATTTTTCAATATGTTGCAAGAATCTGTGATTTGACATTTTGTTGTTGAAGTTACAATAATTTTCTACTTTTTTGTGTCTCGTCCTTTTTCATCTCTGTTCTCGAGGAATTTTCCACTCCTTTCCATGCATATATTTCGGCAGAATGTTCTCCGGAGTTGTGCGGTTTTTTTTGCTGTAATAGTGAATAATTCAGAAGTGCATTTTGTCTTCATTGACTTCAGCTGAAATGCATGCAAATTTTTAGTTTTCTGCAAAATAAGGTAAGTAAGATAGATATGTTACTTCCTTTGTCAACTTGGGAGTCCCAGTTTCATGCTTCGAAAGAACACAATAGCTATAGCTCGAGATTGATAACAGTTTCAAACGGCATCCCGGATCGAGAAAGATCCACATGGAAACCAATGTGCATTGCGTATACTTTGAATAAACGTTTATTGGTTCAATCAAGCTCAGAGGGCCATCGTCAGCACTCAAACCTTCCCCAAAAGTACGAAACATGCCCTCAATGAATCAAGTAATGATATAAATAGGATTCCATAGAAAAGCAATTTTGAATGAAACCAATCAGCCTCTGAATCCACCGCCTTGGATCTCGCAGATGAAGGGTTTCTGGTGATGGCAAGAAACGTCATGCCACACGATACCATCGCGGTAGAAATTGTTGAGAACCGCCAAACAGAACTCGTTGCCTTCGCGATTATCAGGCTGGGGGCGCCCGGATCCACCAGTGCGAGACCATTGTCCTGAAAAACACGCGTGATATATATACTTCGTTGATTTGCCGCAAAAATATTCTGTATCCCTCCAAGCTTAGACACGATCACAATCGCAGCACATCGAAACGTATCTAAAGACACTCCTAACGCACGTACATAGTTATATACGAACAATCAACCCTTCTTACATATGATAAAAGTGAAATAACTTTCCCAATGAAAAAGTGAATGAAGTAAATGGTTCATATGTTTCAGATTAATGATCATATAAATTAATTTTAAAATGTTGACACAATGCACATATTTGCTGTGAGCACCACAATTACATACAGTGATCCACAAAATATTAATCTGACAAAACCCCTTCCCTTCACTGTCCATATAAATCTTGTGGAGAGGCCAATATAAGAGGGTAACGAAAGGCTACGAATGTAGTATGTATTATTGCAATTAAGATATATACAGTAACTTGATCAAATCGATGAGTTTACATCGTCAAAAATAGAGATCTCACCAAAACGTATCGGAGATCCGTTGGAAGACCAAACCCAGCCGTTGCGGTTGCGTCTGCCAGAGGTCCAAATGTACTCCAATCTCTCTGTAAGAAGAGTATTATTATACACAGATTGACTTTCTGCATTTATTATTACACCGTTTTTGACCTTCTCATTGTGTTTCAAGGATTAAATGTTGCAGTGATGATGAGAGACATGTAAACGCCGTTTGTTGACCTTGCTTTCGAATTCAAAATTAGCGTTTAAAGTATTTTCTTGAATTCTGTCGAAGGTATATCTATGTAACGACCAGCGATGATTCACTCGCCGAGACTCCGGTCCAAGTATTCGACGCGGACCTCAATAAAGTGTGGTTGTGCTTTAAGAGGAGTGCTTTAAGTGGGGATGACATAGTGAGATCATACCTTGAGCAATGATTCCTGTGACAAAGTTGGCTTCTTGAGGAGTATCCAATGAAACCAAACCCATGCCAAGTTGGCGACAGAAGTTATTTGCACCATCCCATCCTACTTGAAGACCTCGATTCTCTCGCCAGGAGTAATAGTAGCTGCTTCCTCCGAATTGTCCATGGATTCCTGAAGTAAGAAAATAATGCGTGTTATTATAATCGGCAGCTCGTCAGATCCATTCAGAGTGTGATGGAACCATTTTGAGATTACCAAAAAAGTAATCTGGTATGTCTTAATCTTGTACATTAACAGGTTTAGTATAGTACGTGTTCACACAATTATAAATGTGTTTTTTTCTGGATTAAACTTTTCATTGCGTGTTTCTCACTCAGAAAACCGGAATAGTTCGTAAGTTTGTTCCATATTTAATTAAAAAATAATGGGAGGCTTCGATAGATGAACTGCTGCATCGTCAAGAAATTCGGCGGCTTGAGTGAAGAGTATTGGGTGCTGCTCATCGCGATCGATATTACGGCTGATGTGACAACCGCTGATTGTCCAAATTATTCTGTATTTTTTGTTGATCTACGTACTATATATTTCAAATTAAATGTATTTAGGGGCCACGATATTATTTCATTCTGTGGTATATTTTGTATGTATACTCACTTGCTTGACCAGCCGACAAAGCGGCGCATCCAAGAAGAAGCAACGCGATCACGCAAGCCTTCATGTCTTCGGCACGAGTTTCTCTCGGATCCGCGGATTCTGTGATGTGAGTATATTGGAACAAAATCAATAAGATATACTGTACATATATCTTCAATCCTCGATACGATCTTTTCTCGAATCTGAGGATTCTGTCGCGTGAGTATTGATCGAACATCGAAAGGAAGTATTAATCATATTGATTCTTTTATCTTGAGGTTACAATTTTTTAATTAAAAAAAAAAACTTGAGATTTACTTCACTGGACTTATCAGCACAATTTATTGCACATCGCGTTCTGTTTCTCAATCTCAGGATAGATGAGGAATATTAACTGCCCCATTCTTATTCTAATCATATGATAGGGTCCACGATCGGATAAGTATGAACTCATGGAGATAAGCAGGCTTTCTTTCTAAACTTGCGGATTGAACATTTTGACGGATTCTACGTGAATGTAATCTGCACTAATTCAGTTCAAATTCGCCGTTAATCTGAACGATAATACCGTTGCTTTTTTTTTAAACCGAAAAATAAGTCTCGGACTAATCATCACAGGATTTATATCCGCACATGAGTGTTTTCGCGGTCCTGCTATATTGAATACTCTCAGGAGTTGAAGAATCTGACTGACCTGGGGTTCACGTTTCGAAGGTTCTTATATACGAGAGAAAATGGGCTGTCCTCCATCAGGGTCCGGACTTCCTGCACTTGATGCGGCCCAACAATTTTGACGCGTTCTTCGACCTTGCGTTTCCCTCCGCGGCTGCAACAGCGACTTTTCACCTGGTCGGATACACCGCGGAAAAGAGGAAGAACACAATATCTATACAGGAGGATGATGCGGACAATAAATAAAATGATCCCATGCGTATTCTTTTCTTATAGGGTATAGGTTCCGTTGCTGAAGAGGTGCTTCCTCGTTTCGGAGTCCAAGGACATGCTGGATATTTGGAACGCATCGCTTGTGCTTTTTTTCTCCCTTGCTCTGGAAGAAGATCGGGGGTTTCTTTATATCTTCGGATATGGTCACGATTTCCGGGCGACTTTTGAATTCAAAGATGACCTTCAAACCCTGCGTGGCATATCGAAATGCGAAATGAGGATTTGACAGGCGAATATTATGACGAATTTACGATACATGTTCATCGTCGTGCGAACCGCACCGTGCAAATCAATTTGTCATTCCCCAAAATTTATGGAAATGATTCTGCAAACAAAGACACGCGTGCGTCCCACTATACAAAGGTACGATGCAAGGTTCAGGAACTCCTGATGATGATTTAAAATTGATTGGGATTAAAAGTACAGTATTTATTAATAAATACGTCAACTCCTCAAATGATGCACTAAATATATAATTACAGTATTGCCAAGATGAACTGCAATTAAAATGAAAGAAAATCCATGATAATATATACGCTCGAAGCGCAATTATTTGTATAGATATATGGTATATATATTAGACCTGCAGCAGTATACTCGCGTTCAGTTCATCATCAGATCATACTCAAATTACAAGATTCAAATGAGTTTCATAGAAATTTACTGTGATTATTTACATTGATTATTGTTGCATCGTATGAATTGTCGGAAGCGGTGCATGATTTCGTTCGAACCCCGCGTGAAATCGCGTTTTACCCCCGAAACTGATCAAAATGTCTTGGATTCTGATGGTGATTCACCTTGAATTTCGTGATTCAAAATAAAAGAAGCCTGTCCCTACAGCATATAAATGTAGAAATATGGCTTCGTTCGTACTTCATTCGGAAAATTCTGCAAACAAAGGCTGCGAAAAGTCAAACAAACCTTTTTTTTGCCGGAATAATGTTAAATTGAGATGTCTGTCGATAATTTATGCAAGGTCCTTGGCTGGCTGCTGCGCGAGTGGATGTGGACTGTTATTCTCTTGTTTGCGCAAGTTCAATGCTCGAGGTTTGCCTTGAAAATTGTTTTTCCCTGATGCGGTATGTGCTGATGATGTATATATTCTTTTTCTTTCAGCACCCACAGAAGCCCAATATTCCCGTTGTATGGCTCGGAAAAACATCCAGAGGTCGTCGTGTAACAACCAGCGACATTTTTTTCGTTTCACTGCTTTATTTTTGTGCTCGGAGGGAATACTTGAGCGAATATATAACGGTTGTTTTTTGAGACGTTTATGTGCTGACGACTGATGGTTTTATTATAGACAAGTAGAGGAGAAATTCATTGTGTTGGTGTTCATAAAGATGATGTGGTTACTTGAAAGTTCAACTGTAAAAAAAACAACGAACAGGAAGTACTGTGGTACTCTATTATTGTGCATATGAAGTTTCAGTTATACTTCACCGGACAAAAAATTCGCGCTTTAAATGTATTTTTGGGTCCGGAAATTCATGTTTTTTCTGAATTTTCGAACAATTTACTTATTTATTATGGGCATTAAAAAGCTGGAAAATGTAGTACACTAATTATTATATAAGGCTGCTTCCATAAGACGTTTTTTCTGAACTGTCCGCACACAGGTGACACGCGGAGAAGTAATTCAAACATTCTACAAAATGATATCAGCGAACAGCCAAAATTAATTACAGATGATTATCTGATTTAAAAAAAAAACTGATCATTAAAAAATTCTCGGAGATCCCTCAGACAGAAACACCCCATGTTGACGACATGATGTTTCAAAAATGCTGTAGAAAATATACAAAATAGTATGAAAGTGAAGGAATCCTGAAAAATGCTTCAACTGCTCAAATAATTTCAAATTAAAAACCTCCAACTGAAGAACTGCTAATATCATGGACCTTCAACTTATTACTCCCTATTTCAACTATTAAGCTGCTCTTTCTTTCTTTCTGAATTTCACAAATATACAGTATTAAAACTATATAAAGAAGCAATACTATTCAACATTCTCTCTATTAAAAAAAAATTAAGGCTTTTTGGTTCAAAACTAAATCTTATTGGCAAAGAAAATCTGTCATGTGAGTCAGATTACTGTACTTCCCCCTATAAACAATATCAAAATGCACCATTTTTGTCATGTAGGTCTTTTTTTTTTACTGTGAAATGGGGTATTCAGACATTATCTTGGGTTGGAATAAATCTCATCTCTCAAGGCTGTATGTATATTAAGCTCAGAAAAAAATATACGGTCCTGTCAAAACGGTTGTAAGCATGAACTGAGAGAAAATATCTGACATTTTCACATGAGATAAGTGTCAAGTACCAGCAATGTATTATTTCGTGTGAATAATGGATGACTCATGCTAAGGACGAAAAATAAAAATTACGCGATAAGTTATTTTTATGCATCGCAAAACTACCATACCGTGATTCTCAATTGCAGAAGAAGGTTGCAATAAATCCCCGAGGCCGAACAGCTCAAACTTGAAATTTACCGTTTTTTTTTAAAATGTAAAATTGGCATTTTCTGTGATTGAATAAGTCTATAAAAGTTTGCAGATTCCCCAAGAACTGCTGGAGCCTTCAGATGCATTGTTGCGTCATAATACTGGGAACTTTAGCACAGCACTTAAATTTTGCTGATTTCACTGTATAGAGTGGGTTTATGGGGTTTTGGGAGAAAATTGTTCATCCCGGAGGTTTTATTTCATGAAATTTATGATCAATTTTTAAAGTCTATAGCTGTGAGCACCAGAGTTATGAACAAGGTTGGGTCAGGTCAGGTCAGGTGTGATTGAACAGTTGATCCAGCATCTTGTGTGGTAAAATCTTACAACAACAAACTCCCAGGGACATTATTGTAAAAATGCATTATAACAAATAATTTGTTCTATTGAGATTCATGATTTCCAACAAATTTTAGACTGAAATTTTGTAGGAAAGGGGCAATAAATACTTTCAAAAATGTGATATCATTTTTTTCAAATTAAATTGGACAGTAGTTGAACTGTACAGTTCAATACAGTTTTTCAGACTTCTATAAGGAATTTTCATATGCAGAGTAATTTCAACATTTGGAGAAGTAAGTTTATAACTTGAATCAGTTATTCTTCCTGGAAAAGCTGATAATTATCTGCTACAGATCAAATCAGCGCTGGTATAAAATAAAACTAAGCTGATACCAGATGTCGCTCGTTATCAACACCTGAATTGATTCATGGTTGCTTCTGTCTGCTGAGAAAAGGTTCAAATGAATGGAGTGCAGAATGATTTGTCCAGCCTGCAAAGAAAGACAGAAGATAGGAATAGCACTCATTGTAGGCATTGTTGAGAAATCAAGAGAGAGAAAAGAGAAAAAAAAACACAGTGGTTTTGGGAAAACTTGGCATGTGACTGCAAAACATATAAACTGAGAGACAAATACACTGGAATACTGTACACATTTTTACACCATGTGTCATCCATCCATCCGGAACGCAAGAGAGACACACCCAATCATATGGCTGATGCAAGGAGAGTTGATGCATACCGTTCATAAACTTTTCTTTCCTTCCTGTCGGGGGCGACATCTTTTCTCGGAACCACGATCAATTTTAATAGGGTATAGCAGAAAAAACTTCCAGGAGACAGAAAGCTAAGCTTGATGCCAAGAAATCTAAGCAGGGTAGCACAGGGTCCTTTCTCTCTCAATCCTCCTCACACTTGCGCAACTCCCTAGCCTGCATCCGAGAATGTATCTCTTGGTGAACACTGCTGCATCATCATCATGGCGCCTTTTTGGGGGGGCTACAACAGCCAACCACTGAAAAAAAATGTCACCAAAATCCAGCATTATATACATCTCGCATCATACATACAAGCAGAACAGTACTGTATTTCTAGGTACAGTAATTGGAATACAGAGAGACCCATTTTTTAGACACCCCAACATGCAGACAATTTGACTTAAGGACACTTGAAAAATCCCCCCCCCCCCAAAAAAATCAGGACCAACATCTGGACATTGGCTCAAGTTGGGATCGCTTTTCTGAGATTTTCCCCAAAATTGAAACATTTTAATGTTTAATTTTTATATCTTTAAAACAAATCAAGCTATTTATATTCACACAAATTGAAAAAATTATTTCATGTTAAATTCACTCTAATTCATAATAAAAAGCAAGCTGATTTTGTTGTGCTTCTTGTTTTCAGAGCTTTTTTCCATCATCTGTGCATATTCTAGCAAGACTTATTCTTTTTTTTTGCTTTTTAATCTTCTTTTGATACCAACAGATCAGATTCTATGTGGTTTTGTTCTGCACTTGAGGGCAAAATTTTTTATTGAATTTTTAAGGAATTATTTCTAATTTTTAACAAAAAGGAGAACCAATTAAATACATCAGCATTGAAGTCTAACATAAAGTTAGACTCAACTTTGGGACATTCCAACATCAGGACACTCTTGATACACCAATTATGTCAGCATCTTGGGGTCTCAGTACATTTAAATTATACTGCCATATTTACTTGAGTTCTATGCCCCCTTGACTATAATTAAGATGCACACCAATGTTTTTTTAATTGAAAAATTTGATGAAATCCTATCCCCAAGTAAGACATGAGCAAGATCCACATCCAACTTTTAGTGACTCTAAAATGAAAAAAAAAATTCAAAAAGAACATCAAAGAATTTAGGCACAAATTTAACTATTTTTTAAATTGTTTTGATTAAGATAAATTTTCCTGTCAAACTTGAACCAAAATTTCCCATCAGAATCAAATATAAAGCACACCTAAATACAGTGGGCCCCCAACTTACGACGGGCTTATGCTACGTCCGTTTCATCTTACGACGCTATTTTAAATAATAAAAAAAACCCCGACTTACGTCGGGGTTTCATGATACGACTATATAGCCCTTCGACTTTCCCCACTCCAGTCTTCCTCTCGTTTCCAACCACACCACCTAAAAAGCCAGCAGCAATGGAATTATTCCTGCGACATCATTTTTTCCTACTCCTCCCATTCAGTCATCAACAATACCAGGCATTTGGTAGTTTGGATTGTGAGTGAAAATTTATTTCCTTGCGCATATTTAAAAAAACACTCCATTCAAAAATTGTAGACTTTAAGCAGACTCAAAATCAAGCTTTAAATAATGAAGGATGAACTCACCAAATTTCATAACTCAAAATGCATGTTTGACATGAAATTTTGTGCACAATTTCTTTCTTCACACATCTTTAAAAAACACTCCATTTAAAAATTGTAACCAATGCAGACTCAAAATCAAGCTTTAAAAAATGAAGAATGAAAAAAGTTGTGAAAATCATTCTCCTCCTACCCTATTTCACTATCCTACCCCCTGTCACTTTTGTTTTATACAGTCTTTCAAACATGTCTTGTGTCTACTAATACAATTTCTGACAAAAAGTTGAAATATAAAGATAATTTTAGTTAAATATTTTTTTTTCTGGAACAAATTAATTTTCTTATAATGTAACCTCAAGGGAAACAGGGTTTCAACTTATGACAGCCCCATGTTATGACGTCCATCCTGGAACAGATTGATGACGTAAGATGGGGGCCCACTGTATTTAAAACTTATTGAAAAATGTATAACTGCCTATGCTGATGAGCATCCTCATTTTTCCTCTCAAATTTAAAGAAAAAGTGCATGTGGTACTTGACTTAATAGGGTAAGCATATTTTTGAGGATTCCCTGAAACCTCACAAAGCAACAACTCAACAAATGCAACAATTCAGTTGATTTCTTCATTATTATTTTATAAATCAGTTGATTCAGGCCTTATTTTTTTATGCAACAATAAGTGAAAAGAGAAAATCGCAACAATTAAATGGTTTGAAAATGTTCAAGATTGATTTCTGACAAGTTTTGAGTAAATCTTCAAAGAAATGGCACTAATTGAGCATGGATTTTGTGAGAGGAATGTAGAGCAAAATGTGTCAGAATTCATGCATCAATGTTGCCATTCCTTCAAGGACTCCCTCAACACTTGAGTAAAAATGAGAATACAAAATTTTCAAAATAAGAAATTAAAAATGATTTGAGTTGCTGCATTTTGTGAGTCATCACATCATCTGAGTTGTTGCTGTTCAATATGTCAAGTTGTTCAGATTCCATTGTTGAAACTATTTCATGGAGGTTTGTGAAAGTCGAACAGTTGAAGCTTTTAAACAAAAATATGCAATTGCACACTGTATTTATTTGAGTAAAAGTGAACCAAAAAATTGCTGCAGAAACAATTTTCTTGTAGAGAACCCCTGTAAGATGAAAAGAGAACCCTAAGAGACCAAAATATATACATTAAACAGAGAATACAGTATCATTGTAGACAAGACTGTTGCAGAGAGAGAGAGAGAGAGTGTCCACTTGTATTTCAAGTACAGGCCGATGCCATTTTCCCAATGAGTCCATATACTGTATGTTTTGGGGGGGATGCACAGCCTACATAAAATCACACAATGATAAATATCCAAGGAATGGACACTCACCTTGGCATTATGAGAAGCCAATGGAGCTCCCAATTGTTGCGATCAGTATAACAACAACAACACTGACGCAGATGAGGATCATGATCTTTTTCTGCTCTTGCCGCCATCACACGTGAAGAAGCACAATGATGAGCAGAGGAAATGGAGAAGAAACCCCGGAAAAAAAAACCCCACACCCAGAAAAAAAAAGAAAGAAGCCGAATGAGCAAAAAGGCAGCAATTGGTCATCAACACCAATAAGTCAGGCTTGCTTTAAGGGGGGCAAGTGTTCGAGTGGGTATAATAAAAAGGGAGTCACGCATGAATGAGGCAGCAGGGAACACAAACAAACACAAGCAAAAGAAGTAGGGGGAACCATACACACACACACACATATATACACACGCAGACACACACACAAACACACACTCACGAAATAAATTAAAAATAAGGAGGCGGAACAACAGAGAAAGTCATTGGATCTTCATTCAGGGGAATGCATTTGTTCAACACACAAACATGCAGGAACACTGGTAACACGCTCTACTCGGGGATTTTGCTTGTGCAAAACAATAATGACGATGGATCCTTCTTTTTTTTTTTCGAGAAATTCCGGGGGATGGGGGAGAAAAATGGGATTGGGTTTTCTTTTTTTCTTTTTTTTTTTTGAGAAGAGACCATAAAGCACCAGTCCACGGTTTCTTTTCTCCTTGTGTGTGTGTGTGTACTATGTAAGAAAATTGGATTCCTTCGATTTCTTCCTTTTCTTGCTTCCGCCTCCTTTCGTCACACGTTGAGAATTATTACAGTCAACAGGATTGCCACGACTGCCAGCACTATCACCACGATGATAATTTTCTTCTGCAAAATAAAGTCGGCAATTATTACTATTTATTATTTTTCAGTTGTTCCAATACAATGGGTCCCTGCATAACGAAACGCATGAGAAATTCCCGTAATGCGAAACTCAATTGCCTTCTAGAATAAAAAGTGAAAATTTTAATTATATACAGTAGTTCCCAAAATATGAATTCCATGGTAAAAAAAAAGAAAAATTAAAGATAATCTACAGTTCTACATTGTTTCTTCTTTCTTTCTTTCTTTCTTCTGTAGACATCCATTGCAGAGTTGATCTTTCCATGCACAGTCACCAGATGTCACTGCTTGCAAAAACTTTTCTACCATATCATTTGTTTCATGGTTGACCAGGAGAGGTTAAAAGCTGAAACTCTCAAAGGTACTTCAAAAAACACAAATAACAGAAGATTGTCGTTCAGAGAGACATGATAGAATTTAAATTTCAAATGCATTGCACTGTACAAATGCTGTGAGTCAATTTGAGGTAAAAGACGCAAAAACCAAAGGGATGCCAGAGATGGAGAGCAGTTCATTTTAATCAAAAAATCAATAATTGGGATACAGTATGACATTGTTGCGGTACAGGTCTTTTGTTAAGCAGGGACCCACAATTGTTCTTCACCAATCTGATACACTTTCCAAAAAAAAAAAAACTCACCTTCCTGGCTTGACTCTTATAGATGACAGCCTTCTTGGTCTCCTGCTTCCCCTCTTCAGTGTAATCCTGCGCCTTCATCACATTTGCCTCAATGTTGTCCACCATCTCTCCCTACGTACTCCGCAGGAGTGTCGAACAAAAACCAAAACTCAACACATGCAGGAAACCGAGACGACAACGGAAAATACAAACTATAATTGACAAGATGAACTAAAAAAGAGAGAAAGAAAAACTTTTTCCATACAACGCAGCATCTGCAGGTGCATGTATGCTGTGCCATGAGCAGCAGGTAGCCAAAACAGGGAGGGAAGAAGCGGCAATCAGTCATCAGTCAATCAATCAATCAATCAAATCAAAATCATCATCGTCATGGAAAAAAAAAAATAAAATCATATTCAGCCCAACACGCAGATCCAAATTGCAGCCAAGCAGGTGGGGATCAAACACCAACTACGAGACAACGGTGGCCCGACTCAATATAACCTCATTTCCACCCAGTTATTCAAGTCGGCCATGGGAATGCGGGGACTTTTTATACACCACGGGGGATTCAACGGAGGAAGATAAAAAAAAAAAACAGTGTTCATAATCAAGGGATTCGGGGTTTGAAATTTCCACACAGAAGAGAAAAACACATGGAGAAAGTCAAGGAGACTTCGGGCGAGCACACAAACTCACCCTCCTGGCTTTACTCTGGTATCTGAGTGCCTTTTTGGTGTCCTGTGTTGCGGCCTGAACATAGTCGCCTGCGTGCTCAACATGATACTCT